TGGGAAAGAGGCTGGGCATGAGTATATTTGCCATCTAGGGGCAGTGGGGGAGGCTAGACAGCAGTATATTTGCTGCTTGTAGGAGGAAGGCGAGGGAGGCTGGGCTCATTCATCGTGTATGTGTGTGTGTGTGTGTGTGTGTGTGTGTGTGTGTAAGTGTGTGGGAAGGGGGGGTAGGGTTGAGGAAAATTCGGCATTTTTGTGTTAGGGTTGGGGAGGGGGCATCATTATATTTGTTGTACACACCTTTCTATAGGTCATGTGCTATATGTTGGATTTCTAACCCCCAAAGGTTCAGTTGTGTCCTGATACGGACCCTGCCCTGCCTGATCATTACCACTCATCATTGCAGTAGCTGTAGCTGTAGCTGTAGGTTTTGTGTACAACTTTGTATTGGCCTGAGACTTAACCCCACCTTTATACAGGCTTTGTGGATTTTTCTGTGGAGCGGATGGACGGACGTTATATGCTGGATTTGTAGCATCTAAGGGTTTGGACTCGCCCTGCCCTTTTTGATCATGTTGGTTCATATTTTCGTACTGGTGATCAGGGTCACAAGTTACTGGTGTTTTTGGACAGGTGTCAGTGATAGCCTGAGACTGACCTTGTCCTGTCTGATGGCGTTGGTCTATATCTTCATATTGGTGATTTGCAATGGCCTGAGACTGTCCTGCCTGATCATGTTGGTCTATATCTTCATACTGGTTATCATGGTCACTCGCCACTACAGCTGTGGTGTTTGTGTTAGTTACAATAGCTGTAGGATTTGGGCCTGAAGGAAGATTTCTGATCTTTCTCTTCCACCTGATGATGAAAAAGATACTGCAAAAAAGAACAATGCTAGCGAATGCACCACAGGTAAAGCCTATGGTAACAGATAGTGGTATCAGGTAACTTGGAGTAGATCTAAGGAAGCTGTCTAAAAGAATGACAAGATATGTAGCAGGTGGTTCTTTCATTGTGTCTACATAATGCGCTGTTGAGTCAGCATTGCTTTTGAAGTACCAGTGGTAATGTGAAGAAATGGTGGTGCCGTTGTAACAAACTACAGGAATTACAAGGGTTGTAGTAGGTGTTTCTTTCGTTATGCCTGCATGATACGCTCTTGAGTCAGCATTGGTTTTGAAGAACCAGTGGTAATGTGAAGAAATTGTGGTGCCGTTGTAACAGTTCTGAGCTCTTTCGAGTTGTTTATCGAGGGGCCGTGTGTCAGATGTGGAGCCTACTGAAGATACTGTTGGTTTAGCATTTTTGCTCTCTGTGTTGCCAAATGAAGAAGACGTTGCCACTACAGCAGAAGTGAATGAGGTATGAATACTAGAAGACAATATTGATTCTGTGGTCTTAAGACATATCAGGTCATCAGGATTAATTTCTTTGAGCTTTTGTCCAAAGAGGTTGGCAGGTGTCTCACAGGTTATCCGCTTTTCGAACCAAACAGACCCAGTCATTTTGAGCCTAAAGGGACGCATGCTACAGTCACAATGCAAGGGGTTTTTGGTAGTGCGTACCCATCCAATGGCTACGAACATGTCATAAGTATACAGGGGAAGGATAGATATTCGGTTTGACTCTAGACGCAAAGATTTGAGCTTGGGTGTATTAGTGAAAGTACCTGGCTGGATGGAAGTTATCAGGTTGGAGGAGAGGTACAAGGTATAGAGTTTTGGTAGATTAGAAAATGTACCTGACTGGATGGAAGTTATTTGGTTGGAGGAGAGGTACAAGGTACGATTAGATGTACTGACTCGATGGCTTGGTAGGTTAGAAAATGTGCCTGGCTGGATGGAAGTTATTTGGTTTGACCTCATGTACAATGAATAGAGTTTGAGTAATTTGGAGAATGCATCTGGATGGATGCAATGTATTCGGTTTCTATCCAAATGCAACTTTTGAAGGCCACGAAGATTGTAGAATGCACCACTCGGGAGGTGTGTTATGGAGTTTGACGTCAGGTGCAATGAATGAAGTCTGGGTAATTTGGAGAATGCATTTGGATCGATGGAATTTATTCGGTTTCTATCCAAATATAACTCTTGAAGATCGTGAAGATTGGAGAATGCACCACTCGGGAGTTGTGTTATGGAGTTTGAAGACATATTGATGAAGTCTATATCATGGTTTGAGAACGCACCAGACGTAATGATATGTATTCTGTTTTCGGACAGGTATAAGTAACCTAGATGAGGTACACTGGAGAATGCGTTTGGAGGAATGCTAGTTATCCGATTTTGTGTTAAATCCAGGTAAACGGTCGACTTTGGGAGTTTCTGGGGGATACTTGAGTAGCCCTGCCTATAGTAATTGCAGCAAAATTGGGTTCGTCTGTAGATTCTGAATGTATATTTTGCAGTTTTCACGAGTGGCTTTTAAACAGCCGCGTCCAGCTCCTGGCATGTTGAGTTCCGTCAGGATGACGAGAAGGAGAATCAGCACGTGTCCCAGCTTTTCTCCCATGTTGTCCTGCCAACTAAACACAACATTCGGGTGTAGGAATTTATCCACCCAAGTATGCGGCTACCTCCCATTTCACTCTGCTTCTTGCCATTCATATGTTTACATGTCAGTATGTTTTTAGTGGCTAGGAGAGGGGGGGGGGCAAATGTGAAGGATATCATAACATTCACGTATTGTCATGAATGTGTAACCATAATGTTTTCACGTTATATAATGTTTAAATCATTTTTTTACATTTTATTGTCTGGTGTGGCATTTTATCTAAGGCTACATATGTGTTTCGCCATCCTGTTATTTTTCGAAAACAATAAGCAATTAACATAGACTATAAACATATTTTCATAATTTTCATACACTGATTGCAGAAACGTTTTCAACATTTTCCTTTATATGTAAGCATACGTACCTGTATAATACACAGCAAGTTTCTGGGAAGATGGAAAAGTCCTTGTGGTAAGGTTTTTACATTCGTTTCGAGACTTCATGTATGAAGGGACCCTCTCGCTCTTGGGAAGCAGATGTACATGTGCACACATAATGTACTTCTTTTTCCTAGAGAGCCGACTTGCCTAATAGGCTGATTCAAACTTACCTTTCACTGAAGTTTGAGTTTAGTCTTCAGTTGGCACTTTCTGGGAAGGTAGTTACGTTTACTTAGTTACCAACAAAGTATTTTTTGGCCTCAATGTTTCTGTTCGTCTCGTAGGAAACCAGCTGCCACAGTAGCTGATCCGCAATGCAGTGTGACAAACAGTTTTATTCATATGATGGTGTTAATTGTCTGGAGCTGGGATTTTGGATACATGATTCTATAATGTCGAATGACGTGGTTTGTTCTTTGCTTGAAATTTCACAGAATGCATTGCATTGTTCAGTTGCCACCGTCTAAACAGGACGTTAATTGCAAACATGGTCTTTCCGTGCCCTTTGTGCCGTTGTGCGTGCAAAATAAATTACTGCTTTAGACGCTTCTCCGCATTTATTATATATATGGTGGTTGTTTATTACCTGAAGCTGGATATTTAAATTTGTCTGTTTCCACTGTTTATTTTTTATATAGATCAGCGACAAAAACGATAACATCAGAACAAGATTATAACTTTTAATAATCAATGCCTCATGATATACGTAATCAACAACAGCTGATTTTTCTTGTCTCTTCCCTTTCTTTATTTCTTATAAACGGCGACAAAAATTATGCCATCAGTACGAAATAATCACTTCTTTTAAGTATCTGCCTCATGATATATATAATCACATTATGACTTTTCTTGGGGTACCATTCTAGTATATAATTCTGCATTTCCATTCACCGTCACATGGCTTTACTATCAAAAAGAAATAAAACTAATCAGAAATGATAAAACCATGTCAAGGGTGTAAATACAGAAACGCGTAAGCAAGTCTCTGACATGCATTGGACTTAACTTTATTTTTGGTCAACCTTTCTTGATGTAATTTTCGTCGAACATAAGCAATAAAAATACAAAACAATGTTCAATGAACAGTAGAGATTTGGTATCAAGGAATCAGCATGTCAAAATCGCTATCATAACCTTTTGAGTGAATACGAACAAAAATTATCGTACATTGTTCTTTATCAATTCATATCATATTCACATTTCATATTAGGGCAGTTTCTCTAGACTTGGTACTTGAAACTCGGGATAGCATTACAAGGGATAGGCTTGTCTCGACAACGATGGCATAGCTCCCGGCGGTGCAGCTTTCGTGAGTTGGGCTCGCCCTGGTTGTACTGCCTGGCCATGTCCGCACGGGGGCGCTGCGTACACTTGCACGGAGACCCTCGGCAGCGACCACAGTAGAGACCCTCCACAAAATACGGGTTGATAGCGTTCTGGCATAGGCGGCAGTCCTGCTTGAAATATACCTGTGCATATGAGACATTGAAAAGCCATCAGACAGTTAATTTTAAAATAATGCCTCTATTGACGAACGTTATAATTAATAGAACAAAATAGCTAATATCTAATCCAAAGTCTCTTGTTTACTTGTTGGACTGTTTTATATGTTTTGTGACTGCAGTAACATGCAAAAGGAAAAGTGCCTAATACAAACAAATTAATCTAGGGGATTCATCAATGCATCATTTATATCAATGTGTCAATCGTAAAAGGTCATGCTATATGATTTGTAAAACTGATAATTACCACGCCATGATTGGTAGAGCTGCTAATCAAGTTGTACCGTCAGTATTTACCTTATCCGTCCCTGCCACACACCACACGTACGCGCTCTCCCAGCGCCAGTCACAGTTGTGGCAGTGGAAGTATCCGTACTTCTGCTCAAAGAACAGCCGTTTGCGCTCCCGTCTTGGCTTCTTATTCTCGCCGGTAGCGTCTTCGTCTTGACTGGTACAGTCGTCCTGTTATTGGGATAAACGGGTTAACCGTTAGAATTGCCCCCTATTGTAAACACTTCATGTCCAGCCCATAGTTGTGTTTTGTATACGTCTTAAGCCAGGTTGATTTAATTTGATTACATGGATGGCATCATCCTCTGGGAAAAAGTTGCCTTCATATCATTATCAAATCTACGTGACCATGAAGATTTAACAAATGATAAAACGTATGGTATGGTAAATAACACTCATCTTCACATTTTCCGCTTTTCCCTTGGAATTGACTTCGGTATTCTACGACATTCTACACTTAACGTTACATCATAACTTACTTAACGTGTAAAGCTAAAGAAACTATGAAAATTGTACGATTCGAATTCTGCATATTAGCGCACGACTGACAATCAAAGGTAGTCCATTACTCAACATTAACATGTGTATGTGTTATATTGTATATGCTAATATTTAGAACATAACCTACCCTGTGTTCGGTGGATCCAGTAGAGGACTCTGAGAACAGGCGGCGCCCAGACCTCTCCGTACGTCCTGTGTCCCCTGCAACCCCTTTCACGTCCTCCGGTGATGCCGTGGGGGTCTCCTCTCTCGTGGTCTCTTCTTTCGCCTCCGTTTCTTTACCTTCTTCAAGATTGTCGACGGCCTCTTGTCGTTTCTTCTGCTTGGATCGTCGAGTGCGCGTCCTCTGGGGTTTTGGCATTGGACGCTCATCCTGATGCTGATCTGATGGCTGGTCGGTAGATGGCGCTTTTGCTTCGTCGACATTTTCCCCATCACCCGTTGTCGTACCGATCTGGTCGGTTCCGGACTCGCTGGTGACGGAGTACGTCTCGTCAAAAGGCACGGTTTCGTACGTTTCATCGAAAGGCGCCTGCGGGTCGGTTTTCTTCTTACGGCGGCGAGGGCGAGACTTCTGTTGACCCTCCTCGGCGGGGCCCTTTCCGGGATCCGGCGGGGCCGAGTTACGTCGTCTGCGGCGGCGACGCCGACCACCACCCCGGCCGGGTGTCTCGTCTGGCTCGGAGCATTCTTGCACGGGAGAGAGCGCGGATACCCTCAGAGTTGGTCGCTGAGGGTTCTTGTATCTTGTCCCCCACACCACCGCAGACTTTGGTGGAGGAGGCGGCCAGTTATCCGGGGTTTGTACCCCTTTTTCTGGCAGGGGAAACTGCGTGCCTCTCTCCGGCATGGCTGCCGCCACGAGTGTCCCCCACAGGCCAGAATCAATGCCGTGAATCCAAACTGCACCTGCATGGTTTCAACGCGCCATTTCATTGGACAGAAGCCAACCAATAGGCGTCAAGAAGTTTAACCATATCAACGTAGCAACCAATCACAACCCTGCCTGAAACATGTAGCTCTCAAATACCAAATATGGATAACAACGATAAGGGGTACGTAGAGGAATATTAATGAATAGCTTTACAAAAAGGCGAAAGCCAAGCCGAAATTTTTTTTCCAAAAGTTTATTTTTCAGTCTTTATCACACGGTACGTGACAGAAGGTAAGTTAAACATGTTTCTAGACAACTGTGTGACAATTGTAAATATTTTTATCTCTCTCTTGGAAATAGCCAAAACATTTTATATTCATTTTAAACATTTGTAGAGACAGACATGTATGAGGTTCACTGCTGAGAAAATCAAAATTATATTAAATTTCATGGAATATAATTCATCTTCAACTGTTATAATGTGTCAAAACTTAACCAAGAATCGTCATTGTCATTGTTAACACAAGATCTTTAGTCAACAGACTCAACGCTGTTGTTTACTTGCATTGTTTGTTGAAAACACTTTCAAAACAAACAGTAAAAGGTTTATGTCTGATGATACTTAAACTTGAATACATTAGCTAGATAATGAATGTATAGTTGTCACTGGTGCCAGTCTGAAGTGCATTTCATTCCATAGTCACAGTTTGAGAAATTTAAACAGGAGCAGACTAAGCTTTGGTGAACTAGACTTAAAATCGAAAACAGAAAATCAAAAAGCTTTCTCTTTCAATAAAGTTGAACTGAATTAATAGGTCAGGTACAATAAGTGTGTTTATTGGCGCGTCTTTTAATAAACCATCAAATGTACACAGTAAAGAAGACTATTGTAATATTGTATACTCAGCCACCAAGGATAATTTAAGGCCACAAATCACAGCACTATACAGCACTCAAAGCTATAATGGCAAACAGAGTACAATGGTATACCAACGGTCCTCTGGCCTGTATACAGAATTGTATACAGAAATGTAAACATCATACACATTCAGTTTATCTTTACATTACCGGTTTATCATATTGTATTGTTGGCTTATGGTGTGATATGATAAGAAATTTCATTCAGCATTTCAGGCAAAGGGTTCTAAAACAAATCTGGTGTGGTTAAAATGTCCTATTTTGCTAACTGTAGCTGATTTCTAGGCCTGTAGTTCTTTCATCCTGTTGAGAGCGCTGCCTGCTTTGAACCACTCGATCTGTCCCTCGTTGAAGGTGTGGTTGAGCAGGATGATGTCCTGGCTGCCGTCCGCGTGCTTCAGAACACACTCCACTTGCTGCAAGGACGAGATACAGAAAAGGTTTACGATACATCGCGTAAACAAGCCTTGTAAAATGCATTGCACTAAACTTCTAATCTCCAAGCAGATCTTTTGGTGGGGGTACCGGTAAGACAGTATCAAATTGGCCAGTCTGTATCCATTTCCCCACCGAAGTGGGAAATGGATACAGACTGGCCAATTTGATACTGTCTTACCCCCACCAAAAGATCTGCTTGGAGATTACTAAACTTCATGAAAACACTTCTTTGGAAACAAGAAATCAGGTATTTTAGATTTCTGGGAAGTATTCTGGGTTTTCATGACTTTCAAGTTCACCCCATTTCCTGTGTCTGATCTTGTGATCTCCTGTCGTTGTGCCTATCAATCTTCCCCGACCCATGTGCTGTCAACCTATTCTCAAGTTCACCCCATTTCCTCTGTCTGAACTTTTGACCTGTCATTCTGCCTGTCAATCTTTTCCCAACCCATGTGCTGTCAACCCAGAGCCCAGTCACCAGAAACAATAGATTTCTTATCCAGTGTTCAGAGATACATGTAGAGGTGAAATCTTACCGATCCTGGCGCCAAGCCGTCGAGCCCCAGAAGGGAGATTCTGTCGCTTGGTTGGACCTTATCGTAGTCGGCAGGGTTTGCAAAAGTAAGTGGAAGCATGCCTTGCTTCTTCAGATTGGTTTCTGTCGAGAGAAAAAAAATTGGCACAAAATGAGATTGTGCTGTATTTGTGAGCTGCAAAATTCTATGCATCTAAACACTAACACTATACAGTTTAGGGCTGGCTAAATTCTAGTTGAATATGCAGGTTAGTGCAGGTAAATTGGAGCGTAAAATCTACTTCTTCGCAAAGCAGTGCACCTACACAGAAAAAAATACAGAAAATTCCATGTGTTAAACTGTAAGTTGATGTACAAGTCTTAGCGTTGGCGTACCGTGAATACGTGCAAAGCTCTTGACGATGATGGCGCGGCCCCCGAGGTGCCTGGGCTCCAGCGCGGCGTGCTCTCTGCTGCTGCCCTCACCGTAGTTCTCATCTCCCACTACCACCCACTTCAGACCATGTGCCTATGGAGAAAACAAAAAAAAGCTCTCTTTCACCTAAGTCAAGTTACAACAATGGGGTCTGCTAGGGATTCAAACCCAGAACCACCTTTCTGTCAGCTTATTGTCTAAAAATTATATTTCACCAAAACAAGAGACAATTGTTGCCTGTTTCCATTACCTTGTAATGTCTAGCAGCGTCAGGGACGCCTCCCCAGTTTCCTGTTAACACGTTCTCCACATTGTTGGCTTCTCCATTCACAATGTTGATGGCTCTGAAATAAACACAAGGAACACATTCTTTTCAACCACAAACAGAAACTCACATCTCTAGAAAACTTTATCTAAGTGATAAATATTCTGTGTCCATTCATTTTCTGGTCAACAATAGAATGCAGGGCTTAATGTATTTTGTTAACCCAAAATTGGAGCTGTGCACCTAAATTTCAATTGAGGGCGTACCTATGAAACTAGATATCTGTGTAGCATCTCGCATGTACATGTAAAGGTACACCATATTCTTGAAATTTAAAAGCATAAGAAAAACTGTGAAAAGTTGCACTTCTTCTTTAGAATTTTTAATCTTAGCTCTATAATTTCAGAGTCAAGCCATCAAGAGATGCAGTAAGTGCTGTAATTAGGTCTTGCTGAAATTCTACTTTATTTTATCTTGAGGTTGGATACACCTGAAATGTCCTGAATGAATTTGTAGCCCTGGTATGTTTGTCCATTTTTTCACTCACCCGATGAAACAGTTGTTGGAGATGTTGTCCAGATGTCCACGGTACTTGAGCCAGGGGCCGGCCGCACTGATGTGGTCAGTAGTACACTTGCCCCTTACCTTGGGGGGAGGGGGTCAACTTTCGTAAGAATAAAACTACAGCACAAACCACAATAATATCATATCCTGATGCACTGTAAATAAGATAATTTTAAATTTCTACTTTAAATACATGTACATTATGTATTCCCTATTATTTGTAACAGCTGAATGCTTTATTTTGTTTTACTATACGTATAACTAATATTGTGACTTCACTTAAGTTCCTTTTCGTATTCCTTTAAAGTTTCCTAGTAGACATTGTTGCAAGCATACAATCTTCTCCTTTTGGGAAAGACTTAATGCAGCCATACAAAGTGTTCATTTCCAGGTGCAATGATGTACTTTTCAACACATGCAGACTGGGACCTTCAACTTCATCCCATTTCCTTAGTCTGAACTTTTGACCTGCCATTCTGCCTGTCAATCTCCCCTCCCACCTACAAATAAATCAACCTATAATAAAACAATGTTCCAGACAGACAGACAGACCTTGATGAGTACAGCCATGTCCTCATGGTCCTTGCCGTCCCACTTGTCGAAGGGACTGAGCAGTTGGAGCCGGTCGCTCTTTGGATCCACGTCGACGGCCAGCGACGTGCCGTCCTGCGGAGGGTGCTGGTACGTGTCCTGCCCGGGGTCAAAGCCCTACAGGACAAGAAATCCAAGGTTTATGACTTCCGGGAAGTATGTGGGGTTTTTGTGTATGATTGGAACTGTGGAGGGGATGCATGATGTAAATCAATCAGGTATTACGCCACTGCAGACTTACAATTTTATGGGTGGTATTTGGGGTTTTTGTGAATGTACAATGTATACTTGGAACTGTGGAAAAGGTCTGGAGATCGTATGGTGTAAATCGATTGGGTATTACACCACTTCCTGAATTGCTCCAAATACAGCCCACTTTCATCCAGCTGGGTCACGTTCAGGTTTAATGTTCCTATTATATAAATTTCTATAATAATCATCCGTCAGAATCACCTCCCACCCACCATGCTATTGAAGCAATCATTATTAGGACACAAACTTACTCTGCTACTGAAAATACCCATAAATTAACAAGGTATTGATAGGAGAAATCAACCCATTGAAGGTATGCCTTAAATACTTCATTTCAGATGGCATTTACCTTTGCAGGTAGCTCATCCCCAAATGGGCTCTCCAGCTTAAACTTCTCACCTGAAAAGTGACACAAAAAACAACACATTAGCCTATATTTTGTGAAAACCGTCACAGATAATGTAAAAAGATTTGTTAAACAATTTTACAAACTTTCTAAAATTAAATGAGTTTATCATTAGAGAGAGAAATATCATTAAGTTTATACTTGGTAATCTTAATCTGAACTTTCTTCCACAATAACAGAACTGAGCCCCACATGGAAGGCTGAAATGTTTATAAATTATTTAGTCTTCCATACTGACCATTGGCACCAGTTAGTTCATCTGTCTCTGGGTTGAAATCCAGGGTGCCAGCTATGGACAGGGCCGTCACAATCTGTGAGCAGAGTTACAGAACAATCTCATTAATGATACAAAGTTGACAGTTGGCACATTTCTTGGGCTGTAGTGATGTGTGTAATGGGCCTGATGCTATTGGTAACTGCTTTTTACCTCCCCAACTGAAGTTAGGTACCTATTTACACCTGTGTGCGTGAGGAAAATGCCCTTTTCTGCGAATCAAACCTGTGACCTCTTCACTAGCCTAATCTTTTAGGCAATTGATGTCGCTAAAAACATAACCATATCCTTAATAAATTGAAATACAAGTGTAGGACAATAACAAAGCAGAATAGCTTATTGTTAGCACTAAAAACAAAAGTCAACACAGACCTCTGGAGATGTGACGAAGGCATGTGTAGCAGGGTTTGCGTCGTTGCGCCCGGTGAAGTTGCGGTTGTAGGACGTGACGATGGTGTTCTTCTCGCCCTTCTTGATGTCCTGCCTGTCCCACTGACCGATACACGGTCCACAGGCGTTGGCCAGGACTACACCTCCCATGTCCCTTAGTACTTCAGCCTATGGAAGCACACAAAATGTACAACTTTATAGTCTTCAGTTCAGTCTATCATTAGATAGCTTTAAACAATGTTTAGAGTTAGTTGTTCAAAGGTTAGGTAATGTTCAAGGTAAAACAAGTTGTTCCCTGTAATACAGCTAGCTGCCAACGTGCCTGTGAAGCTGGTGTGCTACGCCGAAGGCGGTTATACCGGCTATACCGATACAGATTCATCAAATCAGACAGGAGAAAAAAGGCTCTGCAGTTCTCCAAAAGCTGCACGGGGATCAAACCGATGTAACTTCAACCTTAGCCCCAAAACTCTGCCACCAAAAATCTTGACCATGGCATGTCCAGAACATGAGATATCAAAACCAAAAATTCTTTTGCAGTACTCACAGTTCTTGTCAAAGGTAAATACATGATGTATGTGAATAACTAACCAAATATAAAACAACTAATTTTCCTTTTATTTAATGTAAAATACTGTCATTAGCATTTCACAAGATTTTACTTACAATGCCGTCTCTCTCAATCGTTGCTCGGATCTGTTCTGAACCAGGAGTCACTGTAAACAACGACCTAAAAACAATATAACAATAATTTCGACCTGAAGTGAAATAATGAACGTTATGAAATACAGCAATTGTTACAATTTCAAATTCTAGAAAAGTGCTGAGAGGCAAAATTCTGTCAAATGAACACTGCTTCCAAAAAATGCAGGAAGTAGGGACAGACTATTCTGCTTAGAAATGACCCTTGGAGCAAACCAGAGCTAGACTAGGATGCAATAAAGGATTTTACTCCATTTTTATTTGTGTCCACCTACTTTGACTTGACTCCATGTGCTAAGGCCTGTTTGGCTATGCTGGCTGCCCGACCCATGTCCTCATAGCTACTGTTGGTGCAGCTTCCAATCAAACCTGGACAAAAATTTTAAAATAAATCAAAATCTTTAGTATAGTATACAAACTACATTACATCTGCATCTAGCGAAGGCAACATCATTCAATAACTCTTAATCAATACATTTAATGTACATTAATTATACCATTCTTATATACATGTAAGTGTACATGTACCTACATGTCCAGTGACTTACCGACTCTGATGTCCAGTGGCCAGCCGCTCTTCTTGGCTCTCTCTCCAACTTCAGCCACAGGTGTGGCCAGGTCAGGGGTGAACGGACCATTGATGTGGGGCTTCAGCTAGAAGGGTCAGATGTTTGAATTAAAAACACTTCATTTCTAACACAAATCATTAAACATACATATTGCAGCGAGGAAACCAAAGCTTTATCTTTTTCAAACAAGGAAAGTGGTTCTGGATACTTACTTCACTGAGATTGATCTCGATGAGTTGGTCATATTCACACCCTTCATCTGGTTTGAGATGCTCCGAGAATTCATCAGCAAGGTTAGAGATCTCTGTAAAAGTAAGATGATGTTATTCCTTACAATCTGCAAAAACCTTAACCAATCAAATTCAGGGTTCTTGACAGAATTTTTTCATAGCTGAATCAAGCTGTGCATTGAGTCCAAAGTAGGGTGTCTAGTATTCTCCCTGAAAAATTTTGAAACTCATGTATCTGTGATACATTTGCTGCTTTTTCAAGGACAACTTTTATGCTTTCCCTCTGTAATAGCTTCATTGAGGCCATTGTATTCCTTCCGTGATAGCTTCAAATCAAATTTTGATTTTTCAAACATTTAAGAAGGGTCACAGACTCACAGGGTTCTTTCCAAAAAGAAATGCCCCTTAGCTGGTTGGAAGACAGTGTGGGGGCTAAATCATGGCATAGGGGGTCCAAATCACAGCATAGGGGGCCCCTACACTAAAACAGCCTAGTGCAAGTGAGAACCCTGACAGTAATGCATATACATATGTATATAATAACAACTGTTGTAGAAGTCTTAGAGTTGTGATGAACAGGAAACACCACAAATCGTTATTTTATTTTCTCCAAACAAATAAAACCGTACCTTCCCGTCCGGTGGAGACGAGGTAGTCCTTCATACGCTTGTTGTACGGGAAGATGGAGGTCGTAGCGCCGATCTCAGCGCCCATGTTACAGATGGTTCCCATACCGGTACATGAGATGGAGTCCACGCCAGGACCGTGGTACTCTACGATGGCGCCCGTACCGCCCTTCACGGTCAGGATATCAGCCACCTTCAATATGACATCTATAACCATAAACATAGACATGTTCTAGGTAAGTTTGTAATACATGGCTAAAACACACAATCTACCGGGTAAGTTCATGTAGATGTATATTTCACTTTGAGGACTTGCATAAAACACTGTAAAAAATGCTTTCATTTCAAAATTGCAATGGTGATACAAGAATTGTTATAAATGGTATGAAATAAAAGTTATCGGTGAGAATTCATCAAAACTTTATTTTATAATAATTTGACATTTTGAGATAACAAATTCTGAAATTCTTATACAGTAAATTCAAGGAAAAGAAATGGTCACTTCACATATAAGCATGCAAGTACTATTACCTTTGGGTGAGGTCCATCCACTGATTTCACCTGTAAGTTTCACACCAATAACCTGGAAAACAAGAGTTAATGTTAATGTTAGTCCAAAATTTTCAAGTAGTATACATGTATATGTGTTCAGTAGTTACATAATTTATAGCTGTTAATAGTGTTATTATCAATACAATACAAGCCATGTAATAATACTAATATGGAAAATTGGGACTAAAAGATCCAAATAAAGGTATAAAAAAACCTACTCTAGACTAACCTTAGGACACTTGAGTTCCCATGGTATTCCCGCCATGACGTCTACAGCATCAGCACCCCCCACACCTACACACACACCTCCCAGGCCACCTGCACACAGGGAAAACTTGTTAGATCTCCAGCCATAATACTTCAGGTCCTACACTCATGTACTTAACCCCTAAGGGGCGCTATTTGGAGAATCAACAGTAAATACACATTATCATTGTTCTACAAGGCTGGAAATCACACCTGCATATGCAGGTTAGTGCAGGTAACATTGAGGCTGTGCAGGTATTTCTGATAACCTGCACCTAACCTGCACCAGTCCATGTACTGGCCAAGGGTTATATAATACAATAGATGTGGATTTTAATATGCTGCATTGACTTAGTACTAGTCAATCTATATGTGTATGAAGTGTAAAAAAAATCATTACAATGGTTTCTGAATAGTTTTTAGTCTGCTATACTAAATTCTAAGTTACGCAGGTTAAACTTGTCTGGTGCGGGAAATGTCAATGTTACCACCAGTATTCCAAGTTCAGATGGAGGAAAGAGAGGGCTCGGCCTTCTAATACCATAACCTAGACAGAGTGGATTAATGTAACATTATTCATTGCCCCTATGGCCTCAGGATGGTTTTTGAATTTTCATCTTTTTTCGAAGTCTACTGAGTAAAGTGTGACACAAAAGGAGGTAGACTGACCTCCGTTGGGGGTGTGGCTGTCTGTACCAATCAGCATGACCCCAGGAAAGGCGTAGTTCTCCAGTACGATCTGGTGGATAATCCCGCTGCCAGGCTTCCAGAAACCTACACCGTACTTTGCCGCTGCTGTCTGAAGGAAGTTGTACACCTCCTTGTTCAGGTCCTGCAAGAAGGGAAGATGTCAGTAATGAAGGAACGAAAGAACCAAAGGAGGAAAAGAAGGTCACAAGAGGTGAAAGAAGTATAAAGAGAAAAAGGAATGAATAAATATGGAAAGATAAAAGAATGAAGTTAAGAAGATACAATAAGGATGAAAAGAAGGAAAGATGGCAGAGAGGATGGAAGGAAGGAAGGATGGATGGAAGGGGGAGGGAGGTAAGTATGGAAAATGGGAGGGAGAGAATGAAGGAAGGAAAAAAGGATTGGAGGGCTTTTTTTCTATCTCGTCCCAATAATATTGTAAATGCTTTTGACCTTACTGTGTATCAACCCTATGTTTTTAGCAGTCCCAAATTAATCTGTCATTCGTTTTGAAAAATAAGACATTTTTACCATCTTGTTTTCTTTTTTTTTTTTTAATTGCATAAGACTTGGAGCCTGTGTTGTGACTTACCTTGGCACGGCTGAGATCCTTGTCTCCTCCAATCTGAGCCTCAATCAAGTGGTCACAGTGAATGGTGGAGGGGACCGCAACCTGATCAACATTGGAAGAACCAAACTTACATATACAACATGTCTTACTTTGCAACAAGAATTGGGGGATTTCAGTCTTACAGGAAGTATGTACTAGTAGTACTTGGCTTACTTAATTCCCACATGTCGACCTCTAACAACAAAAAAGACTTAGTGTGGCATCTGTAGCTAGTCATAAGTTTGTTCAAAGCACTTCGTCTTGTGAAATTAAAGTAGGCTCATACCTTTGGTAGACCACTTGAGATGAACTGTAGCATAGCCATCTATAAATAACAAACACAGATGTTAACATAAATGGAAAGAAAGGACTTGAGGATAAGATAGTGTAAAACGGTAATAGTTTCTTGTCTAAAGGATGATACTATTGAGATAATAGTCGGTAATCTTAAGGGTAGAATAAGAAGATGTACCTGGGCAGTGGCATCTTGCATGGCTACTCTGTCTGGCCGCAACTTCAGGTAGGATACACCTCTTTCAATGTCCTGGGATGGGAAATACAACAACACAGTTTGCACTCATTAGCACCACCTATCAACTCTTCCAGGTACTGCATGGTAGGATACATGTAGACTCTTGCAATGTACTACTCACTGAGTATGTAACACTGAGGAGAATGTCATAAATGGTAGGGTACTACTGAAGAGAAAGTCTATAAGTCTATAAAATGCTAATGACACTATGAGTTGTAATGGGTGTTTATCTTGTTTATTTATCTTGGTATGTAACTTGAAGTATTGTTGTTGTTGTTGTTGTTGTTGTTGTTGTACAAACCTGTTTGACTGGATCATCAAGATGCCCATACACAATCTTCTCTGCCAGTGTCATGGGGGCATCAAGTCTGCAATTGCAAGATACAAGATTTCAATATGTAATTAGACTTGGAAGGAGACATCGAAAAACAATAGCTTATAGGGATAGTACAAGCTCTGTACGCAATATTGCATTAGACTTGCTACAAAGGCGAAAACAAACTTTTTCTATATAACTGTCATGTATGTAATTGTGGAAAGGAAATGTATTTTCAGTTACATATTTACAAAGTTTAATCAGCACATGATCCACTTTCTCTGTTAAGTTTGGCTATAACATTTACATGTAGTTCACATCTCTTATCTATTTATGGCTTCACCAGACCACGAAGTGGTCTGGTGAAACCATATTGTTTTCTCTGATGTTTCTTCTCCTCCTTCTTCTTCTCCTGCCATTTTTTAAAATGGATTCAGCTTCTTCATTTTGGGGCCTAAGGATCTGAAATTTGGTATGGAGGTACAGTGGGCAAATACCCTTAGGCGTTTTTAAATTTTTGTGATACAGGCTTTTAGAATGGTTTTATTTGAGTTTTTTGGCTGTATTATAGCAAATGTATTACTGTGTCAGTGGGCAGTGTTAACCACATTTGGCATGAGTCATCACAATGGAATGCAGGGCATCAACCAATAGGCATGCAGCTTTCCTCTCTTCTTCTTGCTGATTGGCTGTTGGGATTTAACTTGATTAACACCTGCACAGACCATTTCCACCTGCACAGAGCATTTCTTGCTGATTGGCTGTTGGGATTTAACTTGATTAACACCTGCACAGACCATTTCCATACTGACAGTATGTCTGTATTCAAGTGTTTTGGTAGGTATTTCAAGCTTTCCTGCTCCAGCATTGGAATGCGGGGCATGAACGTTTTTTTTTTGAAAATCAACAGTTTGCATTATGCAATTAAAAATCCTAACCAATAATGTAGGGAATAGCTAGCCAACTGTTGTAGTCTTAGTTGTATGTTACTTCATATTATAGTTATATCAATGTAAAGCATTGTTTTCCCTTGTGTTTCTCATTCTTTCCCTGCCATGTCGTAAAATGTGGTGAAGCCATCGCTGTATTTGCTCCAAAGCAAATATTGGCCTTTCTAGTTATTCATGAATCTTCAGTTTGAGTAAAATGAAACACCTGTACACATACCTCTTCCGTACGATGTTGATTTTCTTGTCCAGCGTTTCATACTCGATGAATCTGTCTGGCTCAAAGCGGCTCATAGCCGCCTAGAAATAATGTGAGAAGAATCCATGAGATGCAATGTTTGAACTTTGAGGTGTGGCTAACGACTAGTAGTTAAGTAACTACTACTTACATGCCAAATGTCAGGCAGATCTATTATAAACGACCTTGATTTATAGGTGCAAAGACAGATCCCCAGAACAAGCTTTTTAAAAAAAAAGTTGTCCAAAGTATGAAAGTGTTATCTTTGCAAATAGCAACCCTTTGTTCAAGATCACTTTCCCTTTTCACTTTCACTCTGCAGGTTTATCTCACCTTCTGTGCCAGGGTACTGCTGGAGTGGAAGAACCGTGCGTAGCTGACATGTTCAGCCAGACGTTTGGCCTGTGGAAGGGAACAACAACCATTACAAAGATCATAAAACTATGTACAACAGTACCATGTAGTACATGTACATATAATTATACACCAAACATTTCAAATTGGAACTAAGAACAGAAATCAGCTTGGACATGGGCATCAGCTTCTACTAGTAGTACTAGTTAGTACGTTAGAATAGATCTTTATATATTTGGAAGAGTTTTAAGTTTGTACTTTGAAACCCTGGGCAAGCAGCTGGACAAGACATTTTTGACATAATTATCTAGCTTGCCCTGACTCAAATAGGCCATTGCAACTTCCATATGGAGTCAACAACACCAAGACAAGGCATACTTGAACTTCTCCAGTCCACAACAATACTAGTAACATTAGCCAAAACCATGTATCTGTTGACAGGATATTATTATTAATTATGATATACGACTCATGATTATGCAACTTTGCACCAATGTTGCAACAACTCAAGATGTACTCTAACTAATATTTTGCAGTTGGGGGCTTGAATGATACAAAATATGCATCTGTTTACTTAAGAAAATGGCGTTTTAAGGTGAACACTGTCTGTACGTGATTGTTAAATAAAATCATAATTTTATTCATGTACCTTTAACTTTTACTCGGTACTTTTCTGTACAGTTTTCCATATTTTTTTTGGTCAGTTCAACGTCACTTTGAACTTTTAACTACATGTTAAACGGCGACTTCAACTTGAAGAGCACAGACAAACCTTCAGGATTTATCAATACTCTTTCAATAGGTTATAGTTATTATAATTTGAAGCGTAAAGTCCAAACTTTTCACGTGAAAGTGCCCTCACCAAGGTCATATGGTACAGCTGACATTGCGGGCTATTTTCTACACCAGAGGGCAAACTATATTGAGTACTACTTTGTGAAAAGAAACAAAACTTGCAAAAGTGTACCTCCAAGCGTACAAAAACGATAAATGTTGAAGTTCTGAGGAAAAACACTCACCTGTCTGGACCCGAGTCGAAAGATGTACGCCATTCTGCTTCTTACAAAGATGGACGATAAAAAACGACTACCCACAATTCCGCTGTGGTCAAAGGTGACAATAACGGACTATACCACCTTTTGTAGGGATGTATCTTAAATTAGAAAATTAATTTTCAAAGTTAACAAAGCGAATTTCATTAATAATATTAAATTATGCAGTCAACTAATAATTTTTTAAATTTTTATTAGTTTTAAGGCAATATTTTGAAATCTTTAAAGCAAAGTATCCATGCTACTTTTACTATTAACCCCCCAAAATTATCTCATTTGACGTCTTCTGATTGATGCAAATTTAAAGAAAATGGCGGCAAATCATCAGTAGCATCTGTCAAACTTTTCGTCACAAATAATTCTTTTCCTACACGATCTCGGTGCACGGTTTTTTTGAAATGGGGTATCTGAAGTTGTTTGGCCTTGCCTTAGCAGCCAGCCTTGCGGTGGACCTTCTGTATCTTCTTGTTTTCCGGCGGCGGAAGAGGGTTGGTTCTGTAGAGAAGGCACAGAAAGGACGCGTGATACACAAGGCAGGTCACATATCACATCTGTCGTCTGCAAAGTCTACAGTTTCTTTTGCATTTCATATTTTACAGATTTTAACGCTGTTTGCTTGATCAAAACCCATAAATGATTTTTTAGTGTCTGCTAGTACTGCTACTTTGATGTTTGAAATGAGAATGATAAGAAACGGGTTGGTGGAAAAAGTTGTCCGTACCCGACTTGTGAGGGGGTGGAAAAGGCAGTCTCACATTTTCTGTGTGTAATTACGCCCCCTGGCAGAAAGCGGTAGAATGGCAAGCAGTCGGGTACCCACTGTTGTGTTTTTGTATATCCCAGCCAGAAATATAACTTTTTTCCATTGAAACTTTTCCAACTTATCTTCTGGTTAGCTATCATTTTTCTACTTCATTGTCTTTCATTTCCCCTTTTCTGTCATTCTGTCAGAGTGTCAGTTTCTTGAATTGTACATTGCACCTGCTCTTTGCAAAGGCCCCCCCCCCAAAAAAAAAATCATATTTACATTTCGAATGAAATGTTGCACATTTTCTTAGAAAGCCTGCTGTTTGCATCTATTATTCTTCATATTTATAGCCAACTTATATCTGTGCAGGTGCTGTTTTTTCCAGATGCGCAGGTGTCCTGTCCCCGACAGTCGCAGCCAGGTGGCTGTAAGATGAGGAGATGCAAGTTCACGCACGACACCACTTCTCTCAGTCAGTTAAAACAGTACTTATGCAGGTTTGTGCCCATACTCATTGTCTTGCTCTATAGTTTTGTTGATTGACTAGACTAAAGTAGCTACAATGCTTATAATTTACTGTAAATCTTAAATGTTTGCACTGTTTTTACTTTTGCAGTTTTCATAGAGACCTCATAACACCACAATGTATATTCTATTGGTGCCATGACATGAGATTGCAATTGTAGATTCAAGAAATGAATTTAGTTCGTGAAATTTCCACACAAAACAACTCTCTCACTCTCTTTCTATAAGAACATTTGTCTGACTTTTGTTCTAATGCCATTGTTCCAAACAGCGCCAAGAACACATTAGACTTGTGTGTGTACACGATATCCTGTCTTGACCTGGCCAAAACTGTGGTGGAGCTGCACCAGAAGGGAGTCGTAGTGAGAATCCTCACAGACAAGGAACAGATGGAACAGACAGGCAGCCAAGTATGGTACTTCAGGAGTGAAGGTGGGTACTGATATTCATGTACAATGAAAAGAGGACCATACTAGTAGCTAAAAATTCAATGATCCAGTGAGTCCGACAGACTGCAACATTTCCATGCTGGGTAAACGACAACAGTCAGGATTCGTACTCCCAACCTCTTGGTCCAGAGGCACAGTTGCTAATTACAGGACTACACACAGTATTGTAAATCTAAATGCCATGTTAATAGTTGTTTGAAAGTCTTGTTTTGAGTGGCTGCACTCTCGCTTTGTGTGTCTGAACAGAGTAGGTTGACACTTGACAGCATGTCACATGTGGTTGGAGAAGATTGACAGGCAGAATGACAGGTCAAAAAATATGTTTGAGTCAGACGCAGGAAATGGGGTGAACTGGGGAGCAGGTTGACAGCACAAGGGTAGGGGCAGAATGACAAGAGGTCAAATAATCAGACAAAGATTTGCTTAGATTTCTTTTACTTTTTCTCAGTTTTAAAACTCTGCTATAGGCTAGATCTGTTTTACTCACTAAGTTTTGCATTTGATTTGTATACCAGGTATCCAAGTGAGACATGACAACAGTCCATACTTCATGCACCACAAGTTTGCCATCATTGACAACTCTCTCCTCATCAACGGGTCCTTCAACTGGACGCGACAGGCCATCACCGGAAACTCCGAGAACCTCCTGGTCACCAACAGCCGGCGGATCGTACGGCCGTACACGCAGGAGTTCCAGAGGCTGTGGGACGCGTACGAGCCGGGGAGGTTGAAGAAGAGGAAGGAGGAGTCGGAGAAATTTCTGAAGGATTTGAAGGCTTCAGGAACTAGCAATGGGATATGATAGTGAACCCTAGAGATCTCCTCTTTCTATAATACTAATAATAATAGACAAAATATACCCAAAAATCACTGTACTTGTCCATAATAGTATGATGGGTTTGGGTCAGTCCTTGCATGCTTTCAATTGATACTTACTAGTACTAGTTGTGGTGTAACCTATGGCCGAATAGAAAATACGATGGTTTTAGAGATATTTTGTCTATCAAAGAAAGTACTTGTAGTATCATTCCTTTATCAGTTCAGCTTTAGTAATACACACGCCCCTGTTTAAGTGAAACCGTTCTTGTTCAAGATAAAGCACATTCCCTTATTACCTTGCTTGCATGCAAACCTATAGAGTAGTTGTTGTCTTCAGTGTCAATTTTTTTATAGGATAGTCAACTTTTTTCTGAAATATCATGCGTGAAGTGTATACTTCAAATTTTAAACAGAATTATGATAAAGCAATGGTAGTTGAAAAAAATAGTGTATTAGCTAGCAATTATGTTTAAGCCATGTTAGTAATAACTTTATGTCATATGCCACAGAACTGGTTAGTCTTGGGCAAAAGAGTTGAAGCATGCACATAGCTCATGTTTTTAATTTAAAAAAATGTTTTCACTGAATACAAAGGACTTCTTACATGTTTTAGCCATGTCAGTATCTGACGTCATTACAAGTGTCATTAAACCTGGACCCTTGAAACCCTTTTCTCATTTTTGCTGCACATGGCACGCACTTACCACAGCCCCCTGTTGCAAAAGGGTCAGGATGTGCACAGCCAACTGATATTCATGATAAAAGTTATGTGTAAGCCATGTTATTGTCAGCATAAGCTTCACATATAAAATGTCTGTATACAAATGTACTACATTCATATATGTATATTCAAATTAAAGCAGCACACTGCGTAACAAATACAAGTACTCTTATTAGATAATGGACAATGTTATGTAAATTTATTTCAGTTTGCAGTTGCTGAAAATCATAATTTTCTTGAGCTTGTGGTAAAACACTACTGTTTACAGTCATGACGACTTTGCAGCAGAGAAGTGATCAAGTGAAAACAATGACCTTACACTTTACAGAAATAGTTTTAACATATCAAACCTAACAGTCACACACCTTTCTACTAGAGATTTGACAGATTTCTAAACGACATTCATCTCTTAGATAAATCATACAGAACGATGTATACAAACATATCAGATGTCTTTTAAGTCATACTTTTCCATTCTGCTTCATATAAATCATCACATTTACCAATCATGAAATCAAAGCTTACACAAATCCAGTCTCATTTACTGTACGATCGCTCAGCGATTGTCGTCTAGTAGAAATGGAGTCTTACAGTAGTTTACACCAGTTTTTTCATGAGGGTGAAGTTAGGAGTTCCCCACCCTGTCACAGGGTCCCAGCCCTCCGTGGGACAGAACCCCTGCAGATTAGTCAGCTCATCCAGACAACCTTCGTTACACCCAACTGTCACCTGTCAATAAAAAAAAAAGAAAGTAAATTATCTCCAAACAGAGGTACTTGCATTGGTATGGGGGAGGGCAAAGAGAGAAAAATTCTTACCACTACAAAGACATGAAAACTAGCTGGACTCTACATCTTGGAGATAAACAAATATACCATGGAGCTTCGAAAAATTAAAGGCACACAAGATGTATTGATTTACATGTGGTTTTCGAAAACTGCACTGAAAAGAACCGTACAAAATTTCGTACATTGTATGTCAAATTTTTTCCTGCATTTAAATCGACCTGCTTAGACACATCGAGAATATATTTCCAGATCATACGTTACCTCAAGGGCTGGCATACGATCTGAACGTACATGTACGTTCCTGGCATAATCAATTATAGGAAACATTAATTTTGATGTGCCCACTTTTCGTATGCTCACATGCATTGCATCAGGTTTTTCCTGTACATGCAAATCAAGTACTTACATCATAGAGAAGATCCCAGCCAGACTTGTACAGTAGCGGGTTGAAGAAGCCCAGCGGAGGCTTCCCTTGTTGGAACTTCAGGTCATTTATCAGGGATAGAATCCCAGCAAACACTGGGGTAGCAGCCTGTGGAAGTACACAGAGTACAATACATGTATTAGGAAAGTCACAAAAGTCCCTAAACTGCATACATTTTTTTGTGTGAAAATACTGAATACTAGTATTTACCTCCTATATAAATGACATCCTGTCCAAAGATGGAAAATTTCTCCCTATGCAAAATCAAAAGCCCAATTCATAAATGGATGATTTATAAGGTACTTACAGAGGTTCCAGAGATGAAAGGAGTAGGTATCAGGTCTATGACCACCCAGTAGTTATCAGAGAGGGCTGCGACATCTGGATATGCCCGGCCTGTCGCATTGTAGTACGACTCAGGGGGCAACTTGGTACTCTTGTTCAGATAGGTCTTCACTGCACTTGTCTGTAGTAAGTTAAACAAACACATACTTAACTATTTAAAATTGAAATTTAAACAACTAAGATTTCACACCTCTGTATTTGGAGTTGTCAATTTATTGTCATTCTTGTGAATTTCTCGCTGACTAAGCAAAGTTCACTGTCACTTCTTCACAGCCTGTGGGAAGACCAACTTGACCTCACTTCTTCCAAGTCTGTGATGAGACCACTTTGACCTCCAATTTGACATTTTGCGGTTACACAACTTTCCCTCTCTATTCTTGTGAATCTACGGCACTCAAATAATGAGAAAACACCTATATGTCCAGACCAACACACTGAAAACTTAAGATAAGCCATACCTGATAGTCTGGCATGTCAAAGATGTTACTGAACCCTCCCCCACTGATGTAGTCTGCATCCTCATCCCCTACTTCATATGGTGAGTGGAACATCGTCCCTCCTACTGTGGTGACATAGGGACTGGGGGAAAATACATTAGAAACTTCAGACAGGATACACTGGTATACTATAAACTCTTATCAATGAGCTCTCTGAATAGATAACATTACATTGACAACTTAAGGTTTTGAATCCTCAAAATGTATCTTAAAGGTACCCAAACTGATTTCAGGGCAGTCAAACTAGTGATTTTTTTAACAGTAGCAAGTTGAATCAACCCATGCAGACCCACAACATACTAATGTCTGTGACTAGTGAGGTAAAAATACATTCAGTTGCTGCATCACTACAAATTCATGACACCTCAAGAGATCAAGACTGTCTCACCTGGAAGCAGGAAAGCTTGGTCTGAAGACGTTCTTGTCTTTTGAGACTTCTCGACACCCTGCACCACTGTCACCTGCATTCAATAAACAAAACATTCAGTGTTGACAAAGCTTTATATGTTTTATAAGTGCGATACATACTCTACTGGAAAAAAATAGGCTCCTCATTAAAACTTTTGATACTCACCTGAAGCAAACAGAATAGTGAGTCCCCTGGTCCCAGCCTTCATGAACTCAGTGTTGACCCTCTGCATGTAGTCTGGATCCAGAGAGTCCTCATCATCCCCATAGCTCACACTGTGGACCCAGGGTACTGATGTCATGTTACTCACACCAGTCAGCCACACCAGGAATGGCTCCTGGGACTCGTGACGACCTGTGGGGTAAGGTACCAGGGACAATTATTCTCTGCCTTACATGATGAAAGAAGGGGCACACTCACTCACTCACTCACTCAATCCTCTTGCACGTGGTGCGAAGGGGCACATGTAATCTCAAATTTTGATTTTGAGAGAATTTTCAGTATTGTATTTACATTCTAAACTCTCATCTTAGAGATCCAATATTTTCAATAAATTTTGTACCTATCTCTAGTATAATCAAATACTGTCCACTAGTGTTTGTAGTGTTAAGGTACAGGTAAAACAGATACATACATTGTATTTGGGTCCAGAGCTGCACCTACTAGAATTATACCAATAATACTGATACATTTTAAATTACCATTCCAACAGCGATTCCATTGGTCAGCCCTAGAAGTTTGAATGTGTATCAGCTCACATAATATTGGACCAATTATTGCCAGAGTGTGTCTATTACCATAGTGTTGGAGGCTAAGGTGACTGGTTTTCAGAGTGACAGAGAATCTTGGACTGATTTCATAGTGATTGAGAATGACCCTGGCTCTCGAGTTACTACAGTACCTGGTAGGTACATAGCCCTACAATGTGTATAACACATACAGACCTGCAGTACTCCAGAACCATGTAGAAATGTTGGCACCACTGCTCATGATGTACTGTACATCCAGACTGGCCTCCAACCCTGCACCCCCGCTGTCGGGACCTACCACCTTCGCTGTCTCTGTCATATGAGGAAAACCTCCCCCATACACACGCATGAACTCTTCCAGATCAGTGGCATGATAGAACTGCTCCAGGAACTGCGAAGATCAATGTTATATATATTTGTATCAAAAATATTTGATGCAGTCATATTGGTTTAAATCTTTAAATATAAAATGAAGCATAGCCTAAGAAAACAAGAATAGCAGGAAAATAATATGTTAACAGACTGTAATACACAATGTACTGTATTAATGTATGATAGAAGAAATATTCAGATTTTACATGGACTTCTAGTGAAGAATTTCTCACAGAAAATGACAAGGCATGCACACCACCTTGCAGAATTGATGCAAACTGCAGCTGCATGTACATGGCATTTCAAAGACAGTTGATCTTAAATTAGTACTTACCTGGGCTACAGCTTGGGCATTTTTGGGATCGGAGCCCACGTCAGTTTTGGACAAGTTGTACCTTTCCCGGATGATGCTTGGATACACCCCCAGGTGAAAGTTTGGTTGGTAATTCTTCTCTTTCACCTGAAGTTTGAATCCGGAGGGGAACCTGTGGACTCCACCAACTAGAGAGGGGTGTGGGGGTGGAAAGGTGAAGATGAAAATTTACAACCTGCTTACTAATTGGGTAAAGCAACAAGTACATGACCCTCAGAATGTATGTAAATAATACATAATTTGTATATAATACAGTCTAAATGTTTTTCTTTTTATTTATCTATTGACTTCTATTATACCATCATGCAAGTTACAGTAGAAACATAGAAATTTGGCCGAAATTAATATCTTACCAAAGTCCAGATGGTTCTTGAGATGTCTGGGTACGAGGTATTTTACCTCAGACCTGATGACTGTTCTTTTCCCATCTGTGTACCTGTGAAACTTTACTCCTCCCAGCAGCCTCTCTGCTATCCTAAAGATAAAAAAAAAATGTCATGTACACCATCACACTCAGCAGGGTGATTAAAGACTTTATTGTTTCTTGGGTATAATCTGTGGTGTGTATTTGCTTAACTTTTCCTACAGTTGGGTGGGATGAATTCCCTAACCACAGACCACAAAAGGTGAGACACAGAACATAAGGTCTGAGAAGCTTACTGGGAGCTGGCAGGAATTAATCTGGAAGTCTGTATAGTAAACCAGGATAGTGAGTGAGTGAGTGAGTCTGTTGTCCGGATGTCGATGGGAAAATGCATGAGAGATATAAACACAGAAATGATAATAATGAAGCAATAATTTACCAAGAGAGTGATTTACCAAGAAATTCACTCTCAAAATATTTAAGAGAGGTATGAAGTCTCTGATTTCTGGTTTACCTTGCAGACATGGAACACTCCACAAAGTCCCTTGAAAGGACGACCCTACAGTCTGTGACCCCTGACCCCTGCAGCCATTTTCCCACAGTCTCTACAGTCTCCTTAGACGGTTCCACCAGTGAAGTGACGTCTTCTAGACTCAGGTACTTGCCTTCAGTCAAGAGAGAGGAAATGCGAGTTACTGCAGAGTTTAACTCACTGAAGAGCTACTCTTCTACTTGTCAAGATAGATGCAATGTACTGTATTTATAAACATTATGCTTAGGTACAGTGTACAGGGGGAATTCCTTATGTATAACACACTGTAAATGCCATATATTTTAGCTTGCGATTTATAAAATTTTAATGTAGACAAACCATATTTTTCATTGTCCGGGTCAGATACCCTCCAGAACAGGTCCTCTAATTGGTCCACATTCTGCTGTTTCAGGGCAAAGGTCAACACAACACTGTCACTGTCTCCAACTCGCTCAAGCTGCTTCCAGCCATCAGGAACTCTGATAAAATAACCAAATAAATTGTAAGTTAATATCTTTCAAAATCTATCTTATCATATTAATACAACTACTATAATGCATACAGTCATGTAAATCATTCAGTGACCACTCCCTCCTTCCTTGGACCAATGGGAATCATCTTTACAAATTACATGGGAGACATCGGCAACCAATGGCAGACAACTATCTAAAAATGTACGTTGTGAATAAATTGCACAACATTCAACCAATGGTACTCAGCTTTACCATATTAATTACCAAATACCTATGAATGAATTGAACAACATTCAACCAATGGCATTCAGCTTTAAATAATACATCCAACCTTGTGCTCTGGCCCGGCTCCAATTGCACGCCGTTGAAAGGCTGTGAAAGAACGGCGGAGAATCCCGCGAACACGACACACACTCCCACGGCGGCTAGCATGGCTCTCGGTCCCGTGTGCAGCGGTCTCAGGATCCAGTGGTGAAGAATTCCGAGCCTGTCTGTTTAATACACAACTAATGGGCATAGAATGGAACAGCACACATTAGTACTGGCAACAGCCACTGTTATTAAAGCAAATTAAATGCTCTCTTTAATACCACTTGCAACGAAAACTAGCTGAGCCGTCATTTAAAGAAAAAAAAAAGAGGCTTAGCAACCAGGGAAAAAAGGAAAGGAAAAAGAAAATTTCTGGTTGTGAACATACATGTAACGGGGGGTGCCCTAATTCCGACCTATGTTCCATGCAAACGCACAGACCTTTGGTAATAGTTTATCTGACCAAAAACCCGCGCAACATGAGACATAATATTGACAGATAAAGATTACAACGATTAAAGCTGTACAGCTGTGTATTTCACTTGAGTGTAGCGGCTTGCACCCAAGCGTAATGGTTCGCGAAACGCACGGCAGGTTTTCGGTCATTTTGCCGGTGGAACGTTCTATCGCAATAGGGGTGCCCTAATTCCGACCTAGTGTTTAACACAGGTCGATCTGAGAAGAGAGTTTAGAAATTATAATACACAAATTATGACTAAAACTATCTACAACTGCTTTTCTGTCCCAAACAAGTCCTCTTTTTACTATTACGCGACTTGCTCCAAAGTGGCTGTTTGAAAAGCAAAACCTGCATTTTTGACACGCTCGTCAACCCACGAACAAGCGTCGAATTCACACAGATTTTTCACTCGTCTGTTGTCGGAGTGTACGAACTACAACAAACTTTGTGAGATTACCGATATCAACACAAAAACTTTGTCCATTCTTGTGGTTATTTTTAGGCACGTGCTCCCATGCATAACGCCGCAACAAGGATTTTTCAAACTAGTTCGGTATTAGGGATGGGTCGGAATTAGGGCACCCCCCGTTATATGAGTGGACAATAGTTTTGACAAGATCTGGAACCTTTCAATGGTAAAACATAATATCTTATGTCTGTCCAGACTAGAAGGAAAAATTTGATAGGACAAAAAGAAGTTCAAGAACAATTTGGTTTACAGTCTCTTGTTATTTCTTACAGAACTATCAATATTTAGTAATTTTTACTTTTGCACACTGATTTTAAATTGAGCATTATGACGTGTATACTATGTAACGTTATATTATGATTTACCTACCAAACAACCAATCATAGTGTCGGTGGAATAATTTATAATGGCATTATGTAGAATAAGTATATTATCATAACAGCTTATGTCATTGATTCTTCTCAGAGCAAAAAGGGAACAAAGAACGCCATGCCACTTTTTTCTTAGGCAGTTTTTGCTTATGTGCCAATTCGCATAACGCAAAACACTACATATATTTCCAGCTGCGCAACAGCATGTTTTGCATCCTCCAAAACAGCTCAGCTCTTTGCAAATCCCTTCAAAATGTCCGCAGCACAAACTCAACATGATATACTGTATTTGCTCACCTGGATTTTGGGAAACTGCTCCGTATGACTTCGCTAACAGTCCCATCACATGATCTTGACTCAACAAAAACCACGGGACAAAGACGAGAACTGCCGATCAGCTGATTTCGCTTGGAGCGTAAAGGTCAACTCCGGTCATGACCTTTGACCCGGATGTTGATGGTAAATTTCCCGCGAAACTAGTGATAGTTTCGTCTTGCAGTTTCATAATGACATTTATTACGTAATCTGGTTCGAAACTTTGTTCTAGAACCGCTTGCTAAAGATTACAGCGGTGTTTCAGCATTGGAAGGAAAATGCGTTTCAACACTCAGGTATTTATGGGCGTTTACGGTTTCATGTTACGTTGTGTTGTTCCTTCAGGCCTTCACATATCGTACTTACATTTGATCACTCTCATAAAGCAATAGAAAATCTTACATTCAAATCTAAACAAAGGAAAATTTACTTTGGCAGGTATATGGCAGATATTTGTTGTCCGGAAATATTGTTTTGCAAGCCAAAATTTTCTACCCCCAACCAATGAAGTTAAAAGTCAGACACAGGAAATGGGGCAAACAGTGCGGGCAACTTGAAGGTGATGAAAACCCAGAATACTCCCTGGGAGTGTAAGATCAATTATTTCTTGTTCCTGTTCCAGTGATTAGCCATGGCCGAATCAAAGGATGAGACGTCCTCAGCTTGCAGCTCTGAAGTTTGCGACGAGACCCAGTTGTCAACTTTCTTGGAGAGTCTAAACAAGAGTCGCAATGAGGAGTACCTCTGCGATGTGGTGCTCGTAGCAGAGGACAAGCGCTTTCCTGTTCACAAAATCGTCATCACGTCTGCAAGCGAATACTTCAAGATCATGTTCTCTACCGATATGAAGGAGAAGACACAAGAAGAAGTGGTGTTACACGGAGTGACAGCAGAGGGTTTAAAAGTCATCTTACAGTTTATCTATACCACTAAGGCTGTCTTGACAGCTGACAATGTACACGAAGTGCTGGTGACAGCACATCATTTTCAGATCTCCAAGCTGGTCAAGTGTTGCGAAGAGTTTGTGGCGAAAGAAGTCAAGGTGGACGAAGAGAACTGGGATAATTTGGCACAGATTGCTTCCCTGTATGACCTTCAGCATCTTAGACATGCCGTGCATTGTTATCTGTTAGAGACAATCAACAAGTCAGGAGAAGGTGTGTCATGTTTTGAAGATAAGCTGTGCGATCTACCAGTGGAGCAAATTGAGCTACTGCTGGGGAGTAACGAGATTGAGAAGTTGTCAGAACTTCAGCTCTTTCATTTGGCGGTACGGTGGCTTAAACACGACAGTTCGCATGAGAGTTTTGCGAGTCGTGTCATAGAAAACATCAGGTTCGTGCTGATTTCGCGGGCAGACCTGACCTGTCACGTGGAGGCAGTTGACTTCATGATGGAGGACGTGAGATGCAGACAGATGGTTGCCGACGCCGTATCGTACTTGAGCTTCCCGTTGGCTATGCCGCTACTGCAGACAGCCAAGACACAAGTACGCGCAAGTCAGACCATGCAGGACATCCTTGTCATTGGTGGAGCAAGAGGAGGTGTGGCAAGAAACACTGTCTACCGACTTTCAGAAGGCAAGAGTGATGCCTGGCTTGTCGGACCAGGTTTACCCCAACAGTATGCGGTCAGTCACCACGGTGTTGCAGCAATCGACAACTTCGTTTATGTCATAGGAGGGCAGACTAGGACAGACCCCACTGGGTTGTCAACGACAAACAGGGTGGTGAGATATGACCCTCGTACCAACACGTGGATCGAAGTTGCGCCGTTCATGCAAGCGAGGGCATGCTTCGCCACGAGCGTACTCAACGGATGCATATATGTAACAGGAGGCGGAAACTCTTATGAGATTCTCAACTCTGTAGAAAAGTATAACCCTAAAACGAACAAATGGTCGTTTGTGGGGAGTCTGTTACAGCCGTGCTACGCTCACGCTAGCGTTGTCCTTGACAATAAACTGTACATCAGTGGTGGTGCACGAGATGGCAGGTTTCATAAAGACGTCTGGGTATACGACCAAACAGTAGACGGGTGGCAACGCTCCCGGAACATGAACTATCGGAGAGGATGGCATGCGATGGCGGCCATGCAGGACAAACTTCTCGTGATGGGTGGTAAGACGAATGAAAATGAAAACTACCCGAACATGAGATTGGGCTTTCACACCATCCCGCACCTCGTTGAGTCTTTCGATCCCGCCAGAAACGAGTGGACCGTCATGAAACGGCCGCTCATCCACTCGCAGTGTGAAGCTGGGTCAGTCGTGACGGACTGTGGGATCTTTCTCGTCGGCGGGTACAGTTGGCAGAGCCAGGAGCCAATGAAAACAGTGCAGGTGTACCGCCCTGATGAGAACACCTGGTGGTACTACAAGAGCCTTCCTGAGCCACTACAGGGGGTCGGGGCCTGTGCAGTCACCCTTCCTTCATGAATTCTAACCATTGGCAAGCAGTGCTGAAAAAACAAACAATTAAAGACCTCTTTTTGACTCAAGGTTATATAAAAGACATATAGGATGCCTAGGTTATATGAAATGCTGTATGCAATGGTTGCAAAGTATGTGTTCCGGCACTGTAGCAAACACAGTGCTATCCCACAAATACATGTATACAAGCTATGTATGTTTTGGACATTGAAAGACATGAAATTAATTCACAGTAAACTACTTAAAAGTACTAGGGCTGGTTATTCTTAGTACTGTATGACGCTTATTTCAACAGTGCACCTGTCCAGTAATGAAATAATAAATTGATACATGTATATTTCTAGCACTCATTGTAGGTAACTAAATGAAAGTACTAGTACGCCAGAATGAAAGAAAAGTGAAACTTTTCAAAATATTTATATTGTATACTGTAACAGTATACTGCACATGTATATCTGTTCCAGTTTGCAAACTTCCATTAAAATAATCCTGTTCCCTAAATTGCTATCAATGTGTCTCTCCTCTTTGTTCTCTTAAATTCTTTATGAGATCCAAAATATCAAGTTTTGCAGAGCAGTATTCTATCATATCTAACTGTAATGCACAATATGGTACATGTAGTGTTTCAGTTGACATAGTTTTCACCTCCTATGTTTAACCCATCCTTTTTGTCCTTTCCATCTCACATCTTCTTCCTCATTTTCACTTTCTGTATCTTCTTTACTGTCCTCGTCTCTTGTTGAGGTTGCACTTTCCTCAACTTCACATCTGTTCTCCTCATTATCAGGCTGTGCGTCTTTTTCATTTTCTTCATTCCCATCTTCTTCTTCCTCTTCTTCCTCCTCTTCTGAGCTGTACCAATCAGTAAGAAAGATGAGTGAGGAATTATTTCTGTTTGTTTCACGCATAAACCACCTGTAGATGTAACACACCAGTTTTGAACACAGTAAGTAAAAGCTGCATTATAAGACCAGACTGCAAGCTTTTGATTCACCCACACTGGGAAGGACCACTGCTCATGTACAAATGGTATATGCCATATTCATAGCTTGCCTTGCTCTATACTAGTATTGAAAATGTTGTATATAACATCTATCTTCTGGAAAGGTTGGAGCTTACAATATGTGGAAAGGCCTACATGATAACTTACCTTGACTCTGGGAAGTTGTACACTGGTCTGTTGGGATTGTAGTGCTCTAGACTCATGTCCATTTCAGCAGGTTCTGTTGTTAAAAAAACATTGACACATTATACATGACTGAGACAAAACTTTGTGGTAAGCAGATACAAAGACTTACAAAGACTGAAAGTGAGATTAAGCACAGAATAGACATTTTGACATCTCTAAGATTAGTTTATAGAGCTGAGATGGCATGATTGGTCAGCCACTTAATCTAATTTTGAGATAGTTGATATGATTGGTCAGTCATTTTGATAATCTTAGATGGATACAGTTCACTTGATTGGTCAACTACAGTTGCTGTGATTGGCCAGCCACTTGAATCATTTCAGTGATACATGTAGCTAAACTGATTGGTCAGTCACTTGAAACATTTTAGAGATAGTTGACCTAGTTGATAGTTGATAGTTCAGCCACTTTAAACCATCATCAAGAGCTAGTAGACCTGATTGGTCAGCTGCTTCCTGCTGAAGTTTTTCCATCCAATCCTGCTGTGCAGCCACTACAGCAGCCCCGTCACTGCAGGCAGCATATCTGTCCAACAGTTCCCTGTTCACCTCCAGAAAACCTTTTCCCCACTTGAACTTCTGCAGGCACTTGAAAGCGTACTCCTTCAAACCTGACAAAAACAAACAATGAAACAACAATTGTTAATTGAATTCTTACAAATAATTCCTGATTACTAATGTATATATATAATTGGACAGCACTGCAAATTGGACCCTCTATGTCAGATGAATTCCCCTGGCCAATAAGATTTTTTAATGGCCGACTTCTACATTTTTTTCAGCCTGCAAAGGAGTCTGGTGGATGCTGAGTAGTTCCCCCATCATATGCCTATAACATAATCTAAGTTGTTACATTCAACTTTAAATCCATGTACATGTAGTCTCTTGACTAACAGTTTTCTTGTATACAAAACAAGTAACTGATGCTGTAAAGTGCCACTAGCACTTACCAACTATGTAGAAGGTTGCCGCAAATGCCTCCACACAGGACAGTTTACAGGGCCGGCCATAGTTGATGGGGTTGGCAGCTACCAAGTAAGGCAGGAGGCGGGGGTAGCCTCCCCTCATCTTCCCAAATGGAGTCTCCTCCAACTTAGCCCAGGAACAGTCCACTACAGCAAGGCCACTGTGGAGCACGATCTCCCTGAAATACAGGTTATTACATTCATATATGGAAGTATTGTTTTGGGTGGCTGGGCTGTAATGAAAGTGAAATGAACAAAATGAAAGTTACATTCCATCAGAAATTATGAACAGTTACTTACGATAATCGTAAGGCAGAAAACTTCTATTTCTAAAAAGTATTACAAAGTAATAATACATGTATAACTACATGTTTAACATGTATTGTACAATTGTAATATAATATAAGGACAATCAGCGTATAACAACAAAGCCCTCACCTGTCCTGAGGTGAGACACACCTGGTCCCTACAGGTGTGAGGATGAGACCTCCGAACCTCTGAGACAGCTTCAGTGTCCTGACATAACCCAGTCTCTCCAGCTTCCTACCAGTGCATCTCTTGGGGTCACAGTGGTTCAGGTCCCACATCGCCATGGCAACAGGGATGCTGTCATCTGATTGGTGGGACTGAGATGTTGCTCCCTCTGATTGGCTGAGGTCCTCTCCACCTTTTACAAGTTTTAGTAGCAAAAAAAAAGACATATGCAATACATGTAGTTGACAACTTATTTAATTATATTATCTCCAAGCAGACCCTTTGACTGCCTGACTCTTTAACCTTCTGCCTGTCAATCTGCCCCTACCTGTGTGCTGTCAACCTACTCTCACGCACACTCCCATCCCGTCATAATAATCATCGACTCCCTGTCAATCTTTTCCCATCCATCTGCCATCAACAGTACCAGTCTGGACAAACAGACACACAAGCCCACAGTTCACAGTTCAGCCACCCAAAACAATACTTCCACACCCAGGAAAATATTAAACTTTCCTTCATATAAACCACAAACTTGTGTCTGGCCAAGGACGTTCAACACCTTGGTCTGGCCTACCTTCACATGTGTCTCCTCTTGCAGCCTCCTCGACAGCCTCTCTCATCTGAGCCGAGAAACGCTCAAAGTTTCCTTCCTGAAACTTCCCTGCACGTTTCTCCTGTCTGCCGTGTTTTCCAGGCTTCCCATGGCCCTTCCGTTTCCCCATCACGACGGCGATATCACTAGAAAAATCATAAATTCAGTCAAAGGTTTAGACTTGATTTTCACGTGGCTGTATCAGCAATGCTGATGGGTCAAAAGTCACTGGAATCTTCTATGACGTTATTGATAAAGGGGAACTGCCAAATCCTTATGATATTGATTTTCAAAAATTTTAGAAAATATTATTTATATGATAAACTTCAAGCTAATTTTACTATTAATAGATGGAAATTAAATGGTTCTATCACTTTTTTCTGGTATTGATAGATTTTTTTGTTTCTGTTGCCCCCCGCGAAATAATGAACTATTCCTGCCAACATGGAAGTCATGAGACTGTGTTGGACCTCAGTGTTCCTACTTTTTCTGCTTTTACAAGGTAAAATATGTGTTTATGTCAGATTAAAAGTGAGGAAGGAAAGTTCAGAAGTCATTTTACCTTTTGGCTTTTCATTTTACTAGTATTTCCTTATTGATAAGAAAAACGAAACATAAAGTCATCATTTGTTGATTGTGGGGGGGGGGGCGCAAACGCATACGTATGAGTCACTGTATGAGCTAGGTTTTTATACTAGTAGCATGGAGGTCTACCTCCATGCTAGTAGTATGGATTTCGGGAAAAATGTGTTTTTTTTTCAGATGGTCACGCAGAAGACAAACCTCGGAAAATCTCCATGAGGATCGTAGAAGAGCCATCTAATTACGGGTAATGCTATTTTTTCAATAGTGGAAATTCTTTTCATGACATGACGTAATGACACATAACACCTGGCACAAAAATTTATAATAATAGACCCCTTTCCAATCTCCATAATCCTACCGTCTTATGGAGACAAACTATATAACCAGTGCATGAAATCAGAGATGGCAAACTTTAGCACCTTTTTATATGTCAGATACTCATAGTCATACATGGACACACACTCTCTCTCACACAAGGAGAAAAATAAAACCATGTTGCTGCATTTGTTCCTTTTCAGATATGCAGGTAATCAGGCCAATTCTGGTGTGAGGACACTGACTCCACGGGTCAAAGCTTCAAATGTATCAGGTGAGGTCTTAACTATGTTTTTATGCTTGGAACTGCATTTCTTATGATTTTTTTAATTTTACTTTTGGTTGTAGTCTGCTTTTTAGACTAGAGCTGAAGAGGGTGCCATATATTAATAGCAAAGAAAGGAAGAAAAAATTCTTTGTCCCCTAAACTGCACATTTTTTAACATCACTTGTGTATCTTATTTTCCAGGCCCTGATCCTTTACAGCAACTAGCAGGAAGATGTTATTCAAAAGTACTTGGCAAGTAAGTATTTCTGATTAGGTGTTAACGTTAAATTTGTACATGTATTCCTGTATGCACATTTTTTCTCTTGATCTGTTTCAATCAATCTAATATGTCCTGAAGAAATTTGAGCTTAACATGTGTAATAATTCCTTGTATATTTCATTCCACAGTTACAAATACAAGTTCTGCCCATTCCACAATGTCACACAATATGAGCAGAGTCTAAGGTGGAACCCATACAGTGGCATACTGGGGTAAGTACAAGTTACATTCAAATTTCAAACCCCCCTTTTTTAGTTTGAGGTACAGAACTTCTGTACAGAACTTCTGTACCTCAAACTAAAAAAGGTAAGGGTTCAGAAGTATTATTTTATGTGTCGAGCTGGTATCTATTTGTCTGGATAGAGTAGGTTGACAGCACTTTGGTGGGTGTAAGATTGACGGGCAGAATGATAGGATCTGCTCAAAAGTCTATAGAATAGAATGAATGTGAAGGTTCCAGAATTAGTTCTCAACATGGAGGAATTCAGGAAGCTAAAGGATTGCATGCTGCCCAGAGGTCTGAAATGTCTAATTTCTTGTTTCCCCCAGTGTATGGCAGGAGTGGGAGATAGAGAATAACACCTTTACATCCATGGTCATGCCTGAGGGGGATGACTGTGGCAGTAAGAGGAGACAAGTCAAGGTATACTGGTCAACACTTTTCAAAGGCTTTTGATGTGTCAAAACACAGCGAATCTCTGTCTCTTTCAATCTTCTTTCTTCCTTCCTTCATTATATACAATTTCTTCATTCATTCCTCCCTTTCCATCCATCCCTTCCTTCATTTCTTTCTATCTTCCCTCCTTTCTTTAATTAGACTCCTTCCTTCTTCCTTACTCTTACTCCTCTCTAACTTTCTCTCACTCTGTCTGTCTCTCTTCTTCCCTCTTTTCTTCTGTCTGCCTGTCTATCACTCACTACTCACTATCCTGGTTTAGATTATCTCCCTGAGATAAAAGCAATAAAGCAGGTTGTACATTGGCCAATCACAAACATTTTTGCACTCCTCACATCACCTTTACAAGACCTTTCAATAGGTGTAATGTAAACTTACCATTCCCCTTCTAACACTTTGTGATGATTTGTTGATGATCTTTGGTCTCCATGAGATTGCGTCTACCAGTCTTTGGAGGCAGCTGGAAAGAGCAGAAATTGGCCAGATAACATGCCAGGGGAGTTAGTCCACTATAGGAGTACCGTATTGTTTGCTGCTCAATCCTATGACCAACTCCCCTGGCATGTTATCTGTCTATTTGGCTAATTTATCCTCATTTCAGCCACCTCTGAAGCCTGACAGAGGCTCTTTATGGAATACTTATGTTTTAGCTCTTACAATAATGTTTCTGTTTGTACAGGTTTATTTTAGATGTGGGAACAAGAACCAGGTTATGAACGTGACAGAACCGACCACATGTAACTACATGTTAGAGTTTAAAACTCCTCTGGTGTGCCATCCTCACGTCATGTTAGGTATGTTTGGTGAACATCTATCTGTTACTCGATACATGTATCAGCTATTAAAAAATTATATGTATCAATATTGTATGACATGATTTTTACTTCACCAAGAAGGATTGAAGTTTTAGTTTTGTGCTTTTCTGTATAGCTGTGTCTCAGGAGTTCAAATAGAATTACTCTGAAGTCTCCTTAGTCCCTTACTGGTGTGTAGAAAATGCTTACTCTTTCCTCTCGACCAACCACCGCCAACCTCCCCTAACTATCTAATGACTGATCCCTTATTATTTTTCTCCAGTGTATCCAACCTTGAGTGAAGACCTCCAGTCTCAGTGGGACCAGTTAGAACAGGAGCTGTATGAGGAACAAATCACTCAAAAGGTGGATTTCTTTTTTGTCTTGTTAACTCATGAGGTTGTAAGGCCACACTAATTTGATCTGTTCTTGGATTTATTCAGGAAACTTAGGCTTCCAGTGTGATACTAGTAGTCTCAAATGCTACGATAGGAGCCACAAAGGGAATATACCGGGCGGATTTATTAATTCAGACAATAAATTTTGAACTTTGATCAAATCACTGTACAAACTGTAACAACTTGGAAGACAAGAACTTTCTGCAACTGATCGTGCCAAAACATGATCACTTGGGGGTTGATTCCAAATCAGAATGGTAGCTGTACATGTTTTTTCTTTCAAATCAGAAATAAATGAAGTGGGCACAATATATATATAATTAGGGCTGTAGCCAGCACCCGTATTTCTGTTAATTGCAGGGAAAATTTTTAAACCAATCCATCAACCTTGATGGACAAAATTGACAAATACCTTGGAAAAAATATAAAGCACCAAGAGAAACAAGTACTCACAACCCCATGATATGCCTCTCAAAATGTAGGAAATTGCATCCCCAGTTCCTATCTAGATTGCCAGCACACTCCCTCAATCATTCAATCATGAACCTGAGCATTGAGCTGACAGAAAAAGAAAAAATCCAAGCTAGCTAGAGCCCAGCGGCACAACCAGGAACCAAGAAATAACATTAATGTGGTCTCAAATACCATTTTCAATTTTTCTCTTTCTATTTTTCAGGGGTACAAGAAAAGACTGAGAAGAATATTTGAAGCAGCAGGGTACCAACTCTCACAGAAGAAGCAGGAAGAACTGAAGGCAGCTGTGTCCATTCAGGATAAAACTAAGGATGGGGACTTCACTTCTCTACAGCAGTGTAACGCAGAGTACAAGAAACTGCTGGAAGAAGTAGAAACTCTGAGAGAACAAGTTAAAACACAAGGTAATACAATACATGTATGCAGGTGTTCTAAAATAGGGCAATTAAACTTGCCCTTTATTGAAGTGCTTTTACTATAACTTCTAAAAAAATCGTTTACAGAAAACATGACCAAAAGAAAGGGGCTAGTCCACTGATTGTGGAATGTGTTTAACTCTCATACTCTTTCTCACATGCTGAGTGCTAAGCCGAGAAAGCAGTACATTTGTATGTACCATTTTTACAGTCAAGGTATGACTTAAGACAGAGAATGAACTCATGACAAAATGCACTGTGAGCACTCTGCCCACTTGGCCATTACACCTGTTATACTGTGTCTAACTGTGTGATGTCTTCTTTTTTTTTCAGAGGACAAGTTTCAAGATGAAGTGGTCTTGGAGGATCATGCCTTGGACTATGACCTAATGGATGACTATTTGTGAGCAGACCTGTATGAAATAAGAATATGTTGATTTAAAATGGACATATATTCTGCATTGCTATACAAAACCGATATGAAGGAGTCAGCTTAAAAATGATTCAAAGATAGACTTATTAAAAAGTAATGATAACTGACTTACTGAGTGTATATTGCCACCATGTTTGGATGTGAGTGGCTCTTTGCTGTCAATTATTAAGAAACAACACTGTGTTAACATGGTAGTTAAACTAAGTGTATTATACAGAATGTATATAAAATTGAATGTATATTTTGTTTCCGCTGAATGGCTATATATAATCAGCTATTCAGGGTTTAAATTTCTTTAGAACATTGTGTAATGAATTCATCATCATCATCATGCCTCCTGATTATGAATTGGTTATTTGAAACTCTTGATGGACATAGTTTTGGATAGAAGAAACAAGATATTGTGGAAAGACAATAACTTGCATGCAATATATAATTTTTTAAATACATGTAGAATGTGGGAATGTGGTGGTCACACCCAATGTTTGGACACCCCTATGTTCCTACATAAATATATTTTTCAGTATTTCTGGATATTGACATACCGTGTTTAAATTGACTAGGTGAAGGTGTCTTTATTTTTAGCACACATCTACAGAAGTAGCTAGTGCAACTCCATGGAAAGTGATTGAACGTCAATTGAAGTTGTATCACTTAATAAAGATGAGAAAAGAAGAAACTGTTTCTGTGCAATTTATCATCACCACATCAGGTTTGATGGCTAATTAATTGGTGTACAATTTTAATGTTCATTGATGAGAGACAATGAACTGTAATGGGGAAGCCCAGGCCCACATTCACAAGCCCTCACCTGTACATTGTCTCTAAACCAATGCTTCCACCCCCTCTTGTAATATGATCACGTCCGTCTTTTGTCCACCAATCAGAAGTCGAGTAGGCTTGTTTTGACCTTTGTCCCCTCATCACTCACTCACTCAGTCACAATGGCGGACTCCAGGCCAAAAGAACATTCCTTGCGATCTAAACACTTGGACAATTCCCAGTGTTTGAGGCATTCAGAGCGACTCTCCGCTCGCGAGAGAACCGTGGCTACAACTAAGGTGCCTACTGGAGAGATTAGGACGTTACGATCGAGGGATATCCGCCCGGAAAAAAGAGAGGAATGCGGTATGGTGGGGAGGGGTGGTCAGAGAACAAAGAAACCCACCCAACCACCAACCTCCCCCGTCCGAGTTAGCGCTAGGCTGAAGGAAAACACTGCTGCTACGATCCCTCCTCTTTCAGCAAAGCACGGGAGACGGTTTTCTGAGACGGATGCATCGCCGTACGGCACCCGCAAGAGGAGCCGAAGTTTGGGGGCCAACCACGGAAGTACCGGCCCGAGCACCGGCGAACAAGCCTTCAGGATAGCGACAAGGTTACGGGAGAAACTGTCCGCAACAAGGGCTACGGTCACGGACTCTGACCTCCACCCGGGCACCAACCTGCGAGCAGTGGTCAGCCTACAGAAGCTGGAGTGTCCAGCCAAGGGGAGAGTGACCACCACCACTACAACAACAACTGACCAACGTAAATCTTCTACTACTACTACCTCCAAACACAACGGTATCTCAGGTACAAAACTAGACTCTTCCAACAGACTTAGTGGGGATTCTGTGCTAGCCTCGACTTGTGAAGATCGTAGAAGTGGGCCCGATAAAAATGCAAACCAAACATTGCAACTGAACTGTGTTAAGCGCGAAATAACTGAAGATGATGAAAATACAGAAGAAAAGGAAAATGAGAAACTCGGAACAACATCAATACTTAACCACAGAGTGGAGGAAGAAAGCATGGAAGTTGGCCAACACGAGTCTGCCAACAATAAGACAATAGAAAACACCACACTTCTAGGAGTTAAAGGAAGAAACATGCCTGTAGATTCGAGCGAGAAAGTGTCGATGAACGGTATTTCAACACCCTCACAGTCAGAATCCGGAGGAGAAAGTGTTAAAGAAGAAGCAACAACAACACTCGCCAGTATACCATCTGTTCAAAAGCCGGAGATGCAACAAAACCAGGAAACCAACAGTCAGCAGGATTCCGAAGACAGCCGAATGACGATGGACGACGAAAGCCAGTCCAGCCACTCTTCTGGGAACGACCAGAACTCGAGCGCCAGTCAGAACTCGTACGCGTGCAAGTGGGAACAGTGCGACCAAAGCGTAGCTAGTAGTAGCGACTTAGCGGACCATTTATCGAACGTGCACGCGCGTGAGGAAGGGGAGAAGGTGGTGTGTCTGTGGCAGGGTTGCCGTGTGTATAACATGCCGGCGCGCAGCAGGGGCTGGTTAAGCAGGCATGTGTTACAGCACAGCGGAGACCGGCCCTTCAAGTGTATGATCGAGGGATGCCGCGCAGCCTTCGCCTCTCAGGGAGGACTCGCCCGCCACGTGCCTACTCACTTCGTCGAGCCCAACACCCCGAAATCGACGCCAAACAAGAAGGACGAGAGCCCGAGCAAGAGCACCAAGCGGAAGAAGACACGGTTTCGCCGCCGCGGCTCCATCGTGCGGACGGAGGACTTCTTCGACACGCGGATCATGGACATGATACGACAGAAGCTGGTGACGTTCAACATGATGACGTACGTGGACACGGTGGGGCGCGGGCAGAACGTGGTGTTCCGTAGTCAGGTACTGGGGAGGCGGGTGGAGCCGAGCGGACAGGTCAAGCTGCTGCTACGGTGGATCCCGGAGAACGTCCTCCCGGACGTGTGGGTGGACGAGACAGAACTCCCCGCTCACCAAGCCAAACTGGTGCCGCTCACATCACTACCAGCAGAGGCCCTCATCAGCCTGGACTCCTCTCTTTACAGAAACATCTCTTATGCAAATTTCAGGAAATAAGATAGGAGAGAGAGACTATGTGCCGATTTTCCAGGTTTTCTAACAATATGTCCGAACACAAGGCAGCTCAAATTTCCACAAAAGATACAGATAAAAACAAAAGGTGCTGTTTTACTAGGTTTGCAATGATGAGAATTTCTACTCTTGTTTGTAAATGGTTTCTACAATCTATCTGGTGTATATTTTTATTCAGGGTATTTTTGTTACTTGACAAATTCTGTATTTCTTCTCCTATGTTAAATGTTTGACATTACGTGGTGGAAGTGCTTACTACTTAAGCTTTTTGTTACAAGACTCCTTTCTTTATATTCACAACAGACAAGTGAAAGACTTATATAGAGCTGTGTACTGTACCTAAACAAGTACTAGTAGCCAAATCATAATGTACTCTAATTATTTTTACAAGTAGTAAATTGTCTTTGTATGAACTTGAAGTTTTGCATATTTTAAAAACAAGAAGGTGTTCTGATTTTCAGGTGCTTAATTGTCAACATTGCCATCTTTATGATGAAATTTACCTATTTCTAGTAAAAAAAATGGTATCCTGAAGCATTTATTTTGTTCAGGTACATGTACACCAGATGTTCAGCTCTCGATCTGTACCTAGATTTTTTTACAGGTACATGTACAGGTACAGGTATGGGTATTAGGTACACAGCCCTAGAAAGACATATTTTGTAAAAAAGAGAAAAGGAACAGAAACAATTCTTAAGTATTGCAGTGTTATTAAGTAGAAACTAGACCCACAGATCAAATGTGGTGCAATTGCTGTGATTACGTCTTAAATTATTTTGTTATTCGGTTTCTCTTAATTGTTGCCGACATCTGTTGATTTTGATTTAATTATGTATTTATGTATGCTCGACTTTGATGAAGGAATATGGTTGATAGCTAGCAAAAGAAAAATCAGCAGTATTCTTACTGTCAAACAGTGCCTTGGAGTGCATGTAAAGATTGTAGACTAATTGAATTACTTTATCTGTCAACAGGACCAATTGAAAGATGTTGAGTGTAGTCGAATGTGTACATAACGTGTTTCGCTTTACATAAGATGAGAACCCAATAAGAAGTTTGCACGTAACAGTACAGTCGCCATTTTGGTTGGTTAAACCTGAAAGTCATCTATAAATTTGCATGTGTGTGATGGGCTGATTACCTAACTATAATCACAGATGCAAATTCAAATTCACCTGACAACTTCAAGGTTTAATCATCCAAGATGGCCGACTGCTGACGTCATAGTCACGTGAGTGCAAACGATTTCTATGGGAGGTTAGATGTTACAGAGCATACGATGCGTTTGGGCTGCTGTATTTACTGGTCATGGCAAGAGCATTTGTCATATCAGAGAAAAAAGTTACATTTGTTATGGCATCCTGTATATTTTTGTTATTGGATGATTATTAGTTCTTTGCCTCCTCCTTGTGGTACTCGATGATGAAAATGACAAATGTTTTAGGAGAAGGGGCAGGTGCAGTGAACACAATGCAAACTTCGTAGCAGAAAACAATACAGTCATGATTACAAAAGGTATTTACGTTACCTTCGGTGACTTACTAAACCACACAGTCTATCTTTGAATTGAACACACATTCCAAATATAGTTTGAACTGGTTTGAATAAAGACACAGTGACGTTAGAAGGAAACTGTCTGGTACAATGTTTTGTGATTGAATCGATTATTTTATTATAAATAAACCTTTTTTGGTGCGAAGGTCATTTCGATTTAGGTCGTCTGTCTGATGCGTTGTTGTTCGTCAAATATTGACCAATCGGATCCATTCAATCGGCGTTTGAATCCTAATAGACCATAACGGTTTCTGGTCAGAAAATGCATTCAGCGGCGGTCTTATAATAGTTTAAAGGGCGGGGAACGGTTGGGTATTGTGAAAACAGATCTTTCAGATTAATGTCGTTCGTTCTGATTAATAAAGAAAATGCGAATACATCGGGAGACAGGCCTTTATCTTCAGCATCAGAAAAACCGCGAATAGAACGATAGATCGAAAAGGATAAACTTAACCTACGCCCATGGCTATCTTGTCTTGCGATCGTCTATCGTGAAGAATTGCAATTAGATGAGCTCCTCAGGTCCTATACATAATAAGGTCATCCGTTATGCTATTAGAGGGGAGATCCAATAGTAATCAACGGCCGGAATGCGCAGGTAATGAAATAACGAAACCGTAATCTCTTTTTGAAATATAACTACATTAAACGTGTCTCTTTTTGTAGTAATCCGTTTCTATACATGGAGGGGTTCCAATTTAAGGGTATACGTCGGTTTCTGTTCCATCCCCTGAGGTTGTTTGTGAACCGTCCCTAAAAGCAATCAATACCTAATCAGACGATACTTTGCCCGCTGTGCCGCAGTTGCCATAGGCATGACCCAACTATCCTCCAATGTTTCGCCCGAGGCTAGGTCGCCTGGGTGCTGCTGACGCACGTCTTGCCATTTTCTGATCTTTTCTAGGAAACAAATTGCAGCACTCTTAAAGGTCCATTATGTGAGATTTGTGCCTTTAATAGTATAGGAAGACAAAAATGCCTTTTGATTTAAACATGGCGTCGTCTTTTGGACTATTTTTGTCTCCGGCATGTGCTGTTGGGTTGCGTTCACGATCCAGGTTCAGCAGGAATAATTAAATCGGTGTAGCCATCAGAAATCTACCCGTAGTTTGGAAAATTTGTCCCGTGGTGTCGACATCTGCAATGGAGCGTATTTGGATATTAAACGTTAACGATGTACATGTATTTCAGCAAGACATTTTGACATTCGGATCCTTGGTTGGAAACACGGTATATACCGTTTCAATACGACTTTTAAGAATATATAACTGCTGGTTATATGTACAGAGACGTGACTTCGCTAAAGCAAACATTTTGGCGATATAGTGTCATTTGATTCAATTTTGAAATAGCACTAACCTTCAAATTTAAAAGAAGTAATACAAACCCACCATTGCACTGCATACATTTAGTAAGATATCAAATATTAGAAATATCAAAACCAGCTCTTGAAGAATGAATCAACTTTAATATTTTCTTATGTAAAAGTATCGCAAATTCAACCGCAGATCTAGAGATCGAGCATTTAGTTTACAAGATAGAAAATCTTTCTTTATAATAAAAACATGGCACGACTTTGCAGTTTATAACGTTGTCTACATTGGCGCTTCTCCAACCAGAGTTGAACACCTGCTAGCTGGTGACGTCACAAACCAACAAGGAATCTACAGGTGAACTTTAACCTGTGACGTAACCAACATGGCGGACGGCGGGAAAAAATTCAACATTCCGAATCTAGACGACGTGTACCAGGACACGAACCCACCGGTAACGTTACATGGTTATATAGTTAGCAGTAGGTTAGATGTTAGTATACGGCCGTAGACTTTGCATCAAGAAAAATGTTTATTCTTGACGTGAAAGCAAAGTGACAGTCACTGCGTAGCATTCAAGCGTGGGGGAGGGGGGCGCATAATTTTGACTCATATACTAATACTCATTCATGTATATAATATAAAGTAATTACTTTAAATAAAATTGTACGCATAGACATCGTATGTGCTTTATCTATATGAAAAATTGCAATATAACTTGTCATGATTTAATACTGTTATTAGATATGATATAAATACAAATTAAACTTAGTGTAATGTTATTATGTAAAAAAAATCATGTACAATTAACAATACATTTGTATTTCTTTCTCTGTAGGTTAGGCCTTTGTTCAGACCTGGAAAGACGGTAACATCCACATTCAGAAAAGGACCTGTTGCTGCAACCAACAAACAACATGCTGCAACCACCAGTACAACCACACTCAGTTCTAAAAACAACACATCTCAGGACTATCTTACCAGAACTAGCAAAACTCGTCATCCAGCAACTTCAACACGGCAAGAACAAAAGATTCCTGATGGCATCACAAGCACAACCAAACAAAATACTATAGCTACAAACCACACAAACAAAAGGACTTCAAAAGATGCAGTTTCAGATAGTGCTTCAACAAGTGGCATACCGTCAAAGGTGTCCAAATATGACACCGTACCATCGACAAGCAATGATGGTAAAGACATCAAGCTTGCCGGTGGTACTAGAGGTCCCAGTGCTGGTAGTACTACTAGTACTGGGTCGACATTTCTGGATGTATTTGGACTTCCGGACAAAGAACTTCTAGGGGAAGCAGGTGCACAGCCAAAGGCGTAAGAGCTTTTCTTTTCCCGTTTTTCATCTTGTAATCTACTAATGTTTGGCTTTAATGTGGTTCAGGAAGTAAAAAAATGATTTCTTATATTTCAGAGCACCACCGGTACCTGTGTTGAGAACAAAAAAGTCCAACAGTATCATCATTAATCCAAGACAGGTAATACAAGTCTATTTATTTATTATGTAACAATATGTATATTGTTAGTATTAAAGCATTTGTATTATCGCCGGTTCTATCCCCTCCCTTGGGCGGTGCCGCGGTCGCCTGTTCGAACACGTGCCAGCGCACGTGCCAACGTCGTGTTCGAACAGGTGATCTATACCGGTACCGTTCGAGGGAAGGGGCTCTAGAACCGGCCGGTTACAGATTGAATAAATCAGTTGAGATAAAGCCATTGACGAGTTCAGACGTGCGTCCTTCTTCTTCCTGTTACATCTGGTGGCAGCGGTGCGTTGCCGCTTGCGAGCGGCCGCACCCACCGCAACGCCATCCCGACGATGCCGCCCGACTAGCCAACAGCCCCGGCTAAGCAGAACTTGACCGCCGCCATCGCTACCATGCCGCCCGACCCGCCAGCCCGCTACCCGGCCAAACCGACTCGACCGCTGACAGCTGCCATGCCGCCTGACACACCAGGCCGCCGCTCCGTATCCGGCCACACTGACGAAGAACCCGCCGACGCTGTCGCTACGTGCCACGACCTCTTTTGTACCCAGCCGTGCTCCCGTGAACCAGGCCTGCTATGAACTTGCCATTCGTCTCAGACATGCAACCCTGCCCAAGACCGTCAAGACCGTGCTATGCCGTCACCTTCCGGCCCGAGCGGACCGTGCCACGTCGCCGCGTCCCGATCGCCGACCGCCTGCGGAACCCAGCCCGCTGACTCCAGGGAGCCTTCGTGTCGCAGACGACCGACCCCATCATGAGTAGGAACTGACTTTCTAACATGACGTGACCTGCTAGATCTTTGCTGCGAACTCTGAGTACTGTATCTCTACCCACAGAACTTTCTAAGACCTATGAACTCTTGTAGTGTTGACTTGTTGTTGCACAATATGTGATGTTTTCTATGTTTGCCCTTGCTCGCACGCCTACGGGAAGCGACCAAGCCGCATTGAGCCTGTGTATTTTTGTGTTACTTGCGAAATATGATGCTTGCCTAGTAAAAAGTCTACGGGACGACACTGCAAGGAAGATCATTTTTGCATTCCCGGATCACACTGTAGCTGTGTGACGGTCCGGAAGTCCCCGTACTGCCCCACGCTAGGGAGTACGCGAGGAAATGCGAACTTTGCCGAACAACTACAGTGGGACATCCGAAAGTACTCCCTACAGAACTCCCTAACATGGGATACATATGTTAACGATAGTTGTAAATGTGTCTATGAGAATTGATGAGCCAACATATTTCAGAAGAATCTATTGCGAAATAGAACAATGGATTTGTAAACAGATTGGATTATGTAACATATTTAGCATGAGTAGCTTGCAGGTGAGGGCACCTGCTTAAGTAAGGGGGGAGGAATGTAACAATATGTATATTGTTAGTATTAAAGCATTTGTATTATCGCCGGTTCTATCCCCTCCCTTGGGCGGTGCCGCGGTCGCCTGTTCGAACACGTGCCAGCGCACGTGCCAACGTCGTGTTCGAACAGGTGATCTATACCGGTACCGTTCGAGGGAAGGGGCTCTAGAACCGGCCGGTTACAGATTGAATAAATCAGTTGAGATAAAGCCATTGACGAGTTCAGACGTGCGTCCTTCTTCTTCCTGTTACAATTATATGCATAGTCAGTGGATGCATAATAAGCCATGTTTTAGGTTTTAAAAAGGAAACTAGAGTTATATGCTTACAGCATATTTTACATTTAAGGTGCATCAAAAATATACAATATGTCAATACAATCAATGATCTGGAAGACCATCATAAAAGTTATCATTATTTCACTTACATTGCAATGTGTTATCATAACCTAGAAAGGGAACCCAGTCATCAAGAATATCAGGAATGTTGCCTGGGAATTTGGGGACGTGATTCCAGACTACGTCCTCGGGAAGACTTCTTGTGCCTTGTTTCTGAGGTAAGAACCATGAGGTGTGAGGAGTTCACCTGTATGGCACCAATGGGCACCCTTGTTACTTTTGTAGACATTCTTATCCTTTTGTTTATTGTGCACTTAACTTGTATGGTGAAATATGATTGGTACTTAACTTTACATGTTTAGACAATGCATTACATTTTAGATGCACAAAGTGTTTCTTACTTTCAAGTCTTGAGAATCAGCATTCTTGAAAAAGAATTTACTAGTTGTGTTTTCTGAAATAAAGTACAATGTACAGTAGATATAGAGATAACTGAAGAAAATTATCAAATTCAGTGTAAGCTTTTTTTTACTATAAGGTATACTGATAGTTAAGTCTGTTTTCTTATTCTTAAAGATGAGAAATGGTCCAATAACTCTTCTATGTGGAACACAGCTTCCCTTCTGTTGTATGTGTGTGTTTTTTAATCACAAGTCTACCATACTGAACTGTAGTGTCCCATTCCATAGTTTGCGGTACCACCACCTGCACCCAAACTACATCCACGACCGCCTGCAGCAGCTGGGCCGCAGCTACATGCTCAGGATACTGCTGGTACAGGTGGATGTGGTGAGTAGTAGTGTTTGTGCTGTTCAGTTGATCGCACAAAGGAGGATATCTACACCTATACCTACCAGTAATAATTAGGTGCATCCCCATATACTGTTTTACCATACTCCATAGGCTGCTATACATACTGTATATTGTTACAGGCTTGCCTTACTGATGCACATAAAACTGTCATTGATACATGGTTGGTTGCACGTACCTTATTTTGTTACTTTTAGGAACATAAGTATTTATTTAGGTTGCTTAGCTGAGGCATTGCATATCTGTTTGACCGTAGAGAAGTAGGTTGATAGCACGTATGTGGAGATTGGCACGCTAAATGACAGGTCAGACACGGAAAATGTGGTGAACAGAAGGGTTGGTTGACAGCACTTGGGAGTCATGCAGAAGATTGACTGCCAGCATCACTGAAGTTGACAGGAAATGGGATGAACTTTTCAGCGACTTGTCTTGTTTTCCTCATGACAGGCAGACCCTCACTACTCACTGAAGGAGCTGGCTAAAATGTGTATCTTAGCAGACTGTACTCTGATATTGGCATGGAGGTAAGCACCATGTGTATATGTATGTAATTTGTTAAGATAGACCAATCCCTTACATATTTATATCTAAGAATTATGAAATCATTCTTAAGTATAAAATTTAGAGAAAAATCACTCTGACTTGATTAGAAGTGTCATTTTTTGTACATTTACTTGAAGTGGCCATTTTCTGAGTGTTGTTGGTCAGTTCCATGGTAGGATTTAACAGCACCCCCTTCTGGTCCAATGGTAGAACTGCAGTATTTTGATGTGTCTAAATCCCAGTGCAGAGGAGGCAGGGAAGTATCTGGAGACATACAAGGCTTACGAAAGCAAACCTGCAGACCTCATCAAGGAGAAAACTGACAAGGACTACCTCTCAAAGGTGAATTCAAACCCTGCCTTCCTACTGTTAATAAAAGTAAATTGATATTGATCCAGTTTAAGCTCATTGAAGAGTTAATCTTCCACAGGTCGTGACAGAGAAAACAGACACTATGTACAGTATTTACAGGTTCATTGTTCAAGAGAAAATCCCCTAGCTCTTTTCGACAAGCACAATGAACAGTGGACCACGGCGTAATGTCCCGCTCTAAGGTCTGGGACCCATTACAGTAGCATGCATGTTGGGTAAGCAGCAACAGCTGGGATTTGAACTCCAAACCTCTTAGTCCAGAGGCAGGGTCGCTAACCACTGGACTACACATTCTACTGTCTGTTAATCTTTAAACATTCATGGTGGTTTTATTTTGCTGCAACTGAACATATATACATGTGTCTGTATTATTTTGTAGATATGTGCAAACAATGAAAGACCCCATGTAATGACTTGTGTACATGTCTTAGGCCACAGATTTTCTGACCAGTATTCGGTCAGTAAACAAGACAGATGTGTCCACACTTGTTACGACATTCAGGGTAAGTACTAGGATATTTTAAAAAGTACAGAAGTACTTCTAACTGAATTTCAAGTATTTAACCTATACAATATGTACTAAACACTACTACATTCTGAACAATGTATTGGAAGATATGATTGTATCTGAATGAAATAATTCATTACTCATTATTACCCTAATGTCTAGATTGTCATATTTTAGAAGAGGAAATTTAAATTTCATAATATACATTATATAGAAGATGTGTAACAATAATTGAGAATGTCAAATATGATATGGAAAGTTTTTGTGTTGTTCTTGTAGTCCATAGAGGGAATAATACACGCATCTAAAGAAGACCTGGCTCTCTGTCCTGGCTTTGGACCGCAGAAGGTAAGTAAAAAACACTTTATTTTATTAACATTCTACACAATAGGCTATCTGCCAGCTTACAGTGTAATTTTCAAACTGCCATTGTAGTCATGAATTTTGATAAAATTCTGATGAGAATTTGACTTTGGAGTATGTCTAGGATAGTATAGAAGGCTTTTGAATATTTTGTATTTAATATTATTAAATATCTATTGTTCCCTAGGCCAAGAGAGTTTACGACGCCTTGCATCAACCCTTTCTGAGGAGTAAAAAACCCAAACCAGCTGAGCAAAATTAACTTCAACTGAATAACAATAATCAGTTTTGCACATTCACAATACATACATATACATAATGCATTTACATATAGAATACTGGACAAGATCTGTTACGATCAGAAGTATATGTATATGATGAATCATAGGTGATATATGAATTGAATTCTGTGCCTTCTACATTTGTACTTCGTAATGAACATATAATAATAAATAACATTTGTACTTACCTAGCTATATATATATATATATATGTATGTATGTGCCTTATAAACTGTTGTGACACATGAACAAGACGTTTATAATTTATGATTATACTTTTTAAAGTACTTGCAGACTACATTACAGGCCCAGGTTTATTGTATCAAACCGAAGTACATGTATTATAAATTTGTTGTTAATCATATGGATCCGAAACATTTTTACACTTAATTTTGTTGAAGTCAAGTACAGTGCAGCTTGCATTATGCAAATGACCGGAACAAAGAATGAAAATCGGAATATTACAAAAATGATGGCATGTGATTCATAAATTAATTGAGAAAAGTGCAAAGAAGTGGTTAACTGTGTGAAACAGGGACCACTTGGATTTGAACAATAAAGTGAATATTGGAGAATTTGAAACTTTGTGGACCTTATTTTATTGCATGTTATTTAACTCTTGCTATTCAAACTTTTTTTTTTATTTATTCATCAATAAACGTACAATATACAATTAAGTGAACCATCCCATTACTTAATAATAATAATAATGATGAAATAATAACAGATCAAAATAATAATGATCATAATAACTCAACTCATAACTGATCATGATAACTAATCAAAAAATAACTGATCAGAATAACAATAATAATCATAGTAATGACAATAATAATGGAAATGATCATAACTGATCATAATAATAACGATAATCATAATAATCATAATATTCAAACTTCACAAAGAGTCAGTGCTTGATTTCCAGGAAGCTTTTACGGGTGCTTACTTTCCGGGAATGTTTCACATGTGCTAGATTTCAAACTTGTTTGATATATATATATTCAAGTAAGTACATACACGTTAGTGTATGTGGTTGCCAGGAAACCTTTCACATGTTCTAGATTCGACAAAGATCACAGATCATGTATCGTACATATTTAGCAATACCAGGAAGAAAGGCTGTTAACCCATGAAACAGAAGATGCCGTTTAATGTGGAAATTTAAAGGTTAGAGTTACAGTAAAACATGTGTTCCTGCAGTTGGCATTACATTTTAAGAGCAGCTGGGCTTAGTCCCACTTAGAAGGGGTTGAGTTCAGTGCCAAGGTCTAACGTACTTCATTACCATATAAGGCGATACGTGAATGCCCGGTGAACATTCTTAAGGCCAAGGTTCTCAAACATCCTGTTGTATCTACATTTAGAAGTCAAATTCAAAGGGAAATCTGTGTAGAGATGCTTTCTTAGAATTGTTTTTATAGTCCCCATAATACCATCACGTGGTAACGTCGCACTAGTACTTCATACTACAAAGGTCGCATTCAAACAAAGACTTGTATTGAAAGTGTGTGCCATTTAAAGTAGCTTATTGAGCAGTTCGTATGACGGGTATCCATTCACGTGGAACCTATTGAGAAATAAGGGGAGCTTCTTGAGATTTTGAAGAGGTAAGAAGACACCACGTGTAACATCAACGTGCCGGGAAAGTCTCACGTTTTCTGTCACTTAGCTGCTTGAAACATTCATACAAATTCTACTCTACAGAGATGTCACATTTACTGCCGTGAGATTTTGATGTTGTAGAACGTTGAAGCAGGCTGTAACAGAACCAACCGCCTGTGCCGTAACAAGATAGCTAGCAGAATATTGTGCAACTATCCCAAGAATGCATTTCGTTAATTTGCGATTGGACAACGATAGTACGACAAATGTGACCTGACTCCTAGTCTCAAAGACAAAGGGAAAAAATTATATAAATCTTTTAATTATTCAGAACTCCAGAGAAGCTTGTCTAATGATTTTGTAATGTTTATTCACTGTGTACTGTGCATGACCATCTTGGATTCCCTATTGTTTGAAATCGTCATTGTATTGGTATATAATTCTGTCTTCTGTCTGTGATATCAATGGATGAAATTCATAAGTAATAACAAAATATTTTCGAAAAAGCGCCGAATAGTTGCCGGTTAATATCTGTACACTGCATGTGAATATAATTCAGCACCAAGGACAGGCACTTAACTAAGGACCCCATCGCTAGTCGTACTAGGGGAATTCTTCAGATTGTCGTGTTTGTGTCCTGCAATGCAAAATTTAGCTGTCTTGTTGCTTAAAAGGTTCCCTTACATCTTTGTAGGTGTTAAGCTCTGCCACAACCTGTTTGAAGTTCGGCGTACGACCAATGCCACTCACCATAAATAGTATTTCACAACTTAATTATAAGCAACCGTTACTCATACACTCGTCTTTTTTCAATACAAAAGCTTATCTTGTTTTGAAAATCGACTCCTATTTTAGAGTATTTCCTGCATAGTTAAGCCTTCAACAAAGCTTAAAGCAAAGAAAGCCTTGATAGGAAAAACAAGGTCTTTCCTCAAGTAGTTCAACATCCGGGAATGGCATTACACGTTTAGATAAACGTGATAAACACGTTAAGTAGTAACATACGTCGTGCTGTATTCTTACAATCACAAACCAATGGCATTCGTTGGATAGCTGTCCAGCATGTGCCGTGCAAAATAGATAACCCTTTATATTCATAATTGTAGATGAGTGTATAAGTACCAACTATGGCGCGCGGAAACAACTATAGCAACTATTTCCACGGGGGGGACTTAAGTTCGTAACTGATGCACTCTTCTTTTTACAATATAAAAGGTTATCTTTTTAAAAATAGACTCCTATTTTTATTGCATCTCCTGCCTTTTGTAAGCCGGATATCCTTCAGCGAAGCTTTAAAACCTTGCTGAGAAGGACAAGGTCGACTTTCTTTGAGAAGCTCAATATCTGGGAATGGCTTCAACGAAGCTTTACATTTAAAAAAAGTTTTATTTCTTACATATAAAAAAGTATTTCAATATGTGGGGATGGCGCCGGCATTGCACGTTTAGAAAAGCTTCGCAGATGCACGATGACTATTATAGGACGTATTTGGTTGGTGTTTTTCAATGTAGATTGGAAAATGTAACAAATACAAGAAACTTGATATGTAGGCGCCAATCACGCACCTTAAAACGTGCATTGCAATTCCCGGATATTGAAACACTTGAAGATCAAGGATGGCCGAGTCATTCTCATCATTTTAAAGGATATCCAGCTTACAAAATGCAGGAAACACACTAAAAATAGGAGTCGATTTTATAAGATACAAGCTTTTGTATTCTATTTTAAACTAGAAAGGCCAATATTTGCTTTGGAGCAAATATAGCGATGGGTTCACCACATTTTACCACATGGCAGGGAAAGAATGAGAAACACAAGGGAAAACAATGCTTTACATTGATATAACTATAGTATGAAGTAACATACAACTAAGACTACAACAGTTGGATAGCTATTCCCTACATTATTGGTTAGGATTGCATAATGCAAACTGTTGATTTTCAAGATAAAAAGAAGCGTTCATAGCCCGCATTCCAATGCTGGAGCAGGAAAGCTTAAAATACCTACCAAAACACTTGAATACAGACATACTGTCAGTATGGCATGGCTCTGTGCAGGTGTAAATGAAGTTAAGCCAGTTAAATCCCAACAGCCAATCAGCAAGGAGAATAGAGGAAAGCTGCATGCCTATTGGTTGATGCCTTGCATGCCATTGTGATGACTCATGTCCAAATGTGGTAAACACTGCACACTTACACAGTAATACATTAGCTATTACACAGCCAAAAAACTCAAATAAAACCATTCTAAAAGCCTGTATCACAATAATTTAAAAAACGCCTAGGGGTATTTGCCCACTGTACCTCCATACCAAATTTCAGGACCTTAGGCCCTAAAATGAAGAAGCTGAATCCATTTAAAGATATGGCAGGAGGAGGAGAAGGAGGAGGAGAAGGAGAAGAAACATCAGAAAAAGCAATATGGTTTCACCACACTACTTCGTGGTGTGGTGAACCCATAAAAATGAGTGAAAATCGTACGATTGGTCCTACGGTGTCATTAAAACGGCATTTTGCAGTCGGCACTTGTACTTATACACTCTTCTCTTACAATACAAAAACTTGTCTTTTTTATTAGGTTCACTCTATCTTAAGTGTATTTCCTGCATTTTGTATGCAGGATAACCTTCAGCCATCTTTTTTTAAGTATTTCAATATCCGGGAATGAACGGCCTTGCACGCTGAAGGAAAAGTCATAAACGCCTACACAAGTAGTTCTTCTCCCATTTCTACTCCCACTGGCTGTGGGAAGGCTCCAGAAGATCTCCGCTGAATATATAGTTCTCTCTGAATTCTGTAGTTTGCATCTTTTTAAAAATTTATTCAACAATATACAAAACAAGAACACGGGGTGGACAACTCTAGCCGATTGCTAATTTTAGTCATACCAACGACAAATACAATAGCAAACAACAAAACAAAATTACAAATAAAAATTGAGAGGTTTTTGTAGACAGTTTGTATCTATCAAGTACTTACATTTTTTTATCATTATTTCATAATATCTATAAAGTTTTCTAATTATTTTGAAATAATTAGAAAATATTAGAAATATGATTAAAAACCCGCGCGGTGACTTGGAATGGACTCTTATCTAATCTTTTATCTAATTCCTTATGCACTTGATTTTAGCCTGAATCTATTAACATAAATGCGGAGGGTGGTAAGAATTTGTACTCAGCACTAGCTAGGCGCCGCACATATGTACATTCTAGGGTTCCTTTGAGGGTGCTTGGAGAGTTTAAAATGCATTTTGATGCGCGCGTAACTACTAGTGGGTACTTTCTTGTATACACTAGTCTCGTAGTATGGATTTTTACCTCCTAAAATTGGAAAATGATACCTATACTTAAGTGCTCCTTAAGTGGTTCTATTTTGAGAAGTCATATGTGTGTCAAGAGTCTCTGACGTACATCCACTGTCTTATCTAATTCTTATATCACCAAAGCACCGTCAAATGTCAAGACATTTACAACGCATTGATCGTCATAAGCTAAAAGACAATGTTGTATTTTAAGAAGACTAGATGTAGATAACCTTTGAAATTATTTCATTCAACATTTTTAAACGTAGCCATCAGGACAATCCTTAATTTCATCAATATTTTAACATATGATATTGCCAGTAGAGCAGATATTTTCTTATGATTACTTTTATTGAATGAATCTTTATTGCACATTCCTGCCCAGATGGGCTAAAAGCACAGGTGACCAAATGTGGTCTAGAGGATATAAAACATGGAGTATTGAATACTGAGCCGCTACATTCTAATGCTAAGTGCTAAAATGTCTATATATTACAACAACTATACTATATACTGTTTATCATTTACTGTTAATCGACGTTTCGTCTCTCTTTTTGAAACATCCGAAAACATGATTATATAATTGTTCATAATCAGATGATTTTTAAACACGTTTATTCTTGCATGGCATTCATGCAAGTATTTGAAAGTGTCCTGTTTTGACATTTTCTTGCATATCATGTCTTATTGAAAATACAAACGCGTCTGCAACTCATATTGGCAACGGCAATATTACCATACATATGGGATTGTTAGAAAACAGCCTCCCTCCAGCAATTTTCTCCTGTTAGATACAAAACCTGTTTTAAACACCTGTCTTCAGGAAATGGACAGGAAAACTCCTGCTGATTGTAAAGTTGGGCCTACGGTGCCTTCCGTAAAATGACGCATTCTGTTCATACGCTGGTTTAGCTTATGTCCCATCTGATCAATTACCCTTTTTTGTAATGCCGTCATAAAACGTAATAAAATCAAAAAAGCTGCGGGAACCGCAAATCAAAACCGTTCAAAAAACAGATTCATTTCTTTTATGTCTGTCTAATTGCCGCAGTTTCATTCTAAAGGGCACAGAGAACCCGCTCGGCTCAAAGCAAATTGCTGGCACCCGTCTGCACCTGACGTCACTCCGTTGCCGTGGCAACGCACAACATGGAGAGGCCGGCGTGCGTGGGCGTGACGTCATTAATGACGGATGAGGCAGGTGGTTGCCTAGCGACCGGGAAGATGCGGGGATCCCTGCAAGAAACAATCTTCTTTCATAATAACAACTGGCTCAGGTGCAGTTTTACAACAAAGGACCGAGATCCGGACCCCGCTTTAGTTTCATCTATTATTTCACATCCGCAGAAGCAATTAGTGATTTTCAGAAAATCCCCTTTACGCAAATCAAAACATGAGAAATCTGGGCTACATTCAATCTTATTTCATTTCCGATCTTTAAATATCCTAAAACGTATCCTTACATTTACATAAAGGGCCGTCAAATCATATGCTAGTCTTCCGCCGTTTGGACATTTAATGATAACAATAATAGTTATAATAATGACTATGTATTAAATATACGCAGGTTATAAAATAAGTAAAGAGACACACTCAAATTAGAATGAAGAAAAACAAACTTTTTAAAAGGCGTTTCCTTCTCTTAATGGTTATACACGTATACCATATGTTTGTACTAAAACGTTTCGTTAAGAGATTCTGTTCGATGTTAAAATATAACCTACATGTATCACGTTTCACCACCAATGCTTGACTGTTACAGGATCATATTATATATTAATAGGAGTCATTTTAACATATACATTTCAAGTTAACATCAATTAAGCTTTAAAAATGGGCCTATCAAATCTTGCATCTAATTTTCCAAACGAAACGTTTCTTGAATTTTCCCAATTTTACTCCGAAATCGTAAGAACTAACCATGCATACATAAAAGAACAAAATATAATATATTCGTCACGCTCATATTTATTTGGAATGCCAACCATATCTGCTTTATCACATCAATATGCCTACATATCACACCAGGATGATTGGCACGAAGCTCTGTTGGACGTGTTCTAATATATTTTAGATCCCTTCAGTATTTTTGCAGCATACATCCCCAGTACCGGTGACATGATGTATCCAGCGCGGCAGTGGTTGTAATTTGTCCACAGATGACCCTGTGACGATACTGCTGCTCCATGTAAGCGGGGGTAACCTGAGTGTAACAGGCGCGCGTTATAAATTATTCATGATGCCATCCAAGCGTCGACGCCGTACGTACGGCCCGGCTAGCTCTCACATCCACAGCGCGTCGGCGGCGGACACACGCCGGGCGGTGAGGCGCATCGCACTCCGACCGGGAGACGCCGGCGACTCCGGACGGGAACAGACAACACCAACCCCCGCCGACAACCGCTCCAAGCCATCGGTCCTTTTCCACCTACCGGTTCGTATATGCCTTTATTGTCTTCAAATTTTTTGTGTGTTTACGATTATTCAAGTACACGCGCTAACAAAATGAATATTTGACGAGGTTGTTTGGGGAAGAGATTTGCTGTCGGAGATGTAAGCCTTGCTTAACCTGCTCGCTGTGCAGGGCCCGTGCAGTGTCAGATCGTATATACGTAGTGAGCGGACTGCCCTTGCCATATGGCGCGGCAAACCCAGTAGGAAACTGCCGCATAGACATCTTGCAATCCCGTCTGTCACTAAGCCTGACAGTGTTCATCCCCAGATCCTTACAAGTAGAGCAGTTAATATGTAACTACAACTGTTTCTACCGTAATATTTTTTTTATCGCAATAGAATTATAGAGTACGCGGTTTGAATAGTCGGATTTATTTTATACAAGAAGTAGAAAGGTGATGTAAAAAAAGGATGATTTGGTTTTATGGAGAGATGAATACGATTGTTTCTCGTCGCGATCGTTTGAAGTAACCGGCGCCATGACTAGGTAAACACGGGCGCACATGGTAACCCGTGAGTGGGTTGCCTCACCAAGCGAGCACCGTGTACAGTGTATATCCAGAACCATGTAGGCGCACGGTTCTGGATATCCCGCACGAATCCAGAATTAAGCGTATCTAGGGTAAATCTAGATCTGCGTTCTTGAATACGCGGAGACTATGAGGTACAATGCCTGATCCTATCATAACCCTAAGCCACTGAGGCATACGAGAACCATATAAGCACGATTCTGGATACGATACATGGTGTTTTGTGTTCATGTCCAGCTTTTGTTTTTCGTACTTACACTGCGTATAAATGTAATTTGAAAGATAAACGGGCAGTAACATGTAAATGCATATGTCTGCTAGTATGTTGATTCAAATGAAGCGAAGACTAAAGATTGTTCTGTGCGGACCTTTACATCAAAAGCACTGATTTTTGCCCAAATAATAAGTAAAATATTATATATTTTTCTTTACTTTATTCCTTTATATTAGAATCCTGAACTTTCATTTATCAAAACTCGAACGCGTCTCACAGATAACAAGTAAAAAATTATGATTATAATTATGCAAATCCGTTTGTTATATGGTGCTAAGTGTGATTCATCTTTCTTCTCAGGCTAGGAACGCCGAGTTGTTGTTAGTGTTTACAGAAGCGGTGACGAGAGGGTAAACAACAACAACATGCGTTAATGTGTACGAACCAACGTCCATAGACGCCTGCATTGAGACAGACATGGTAGGCCCATATCTATGTATACTAGTATATACCGCGCTCTTGTATGCACGTATATTGTAGAATACTGAAATGTAGGCGTATTTGATGTCATTGTAAATATTTAGCTTCGTATAACTTCAACAGTCATATATGGTACAGCACCCATGACTTGCATAAATGTAGGTCACTTTAAAGACAAATATTTACCTTCGTGTCCTTGATTTCACTACGCACTTGGTAAACATGGAATCGTTACAGGTTATATTGAGGAAATCCAAGGATCAAACAAGTGTTAATATTGCCATTGCCAAGGAGGCTGTCTTTGGGTGCTTATTTCTGTACAATATAACTCTAGAAGTTGTCGATGTAACCGTTTGACTTCCAAATGTGGATAGATGCTGACAAAACAAGGCGCAATTTCGATTAAAGATCTTCTGGCGTATTTCGATAGTACTGCAGCTGAACTTCCGGTTGTCATATCGTGTTCTTGAGATGCTGTAAAATTCTAACTTCCAAGGCATTGAGATTACCTATTGTCAAGCTAAAAATATCCCGGATCATCATTTAAAACGCAGCCAAACAGAGCAAAGGTGGAAAGTCAATATGTTCATCATTCGCTAAACACACGCTATGATGTGAATTCAGTCAGCATATATGCACAACGTCAACGGGGAAAAAAGAAAGATTAATTGTAAAAACGACACTTTTCAAAATGGCGGCTTTTAACCATAGTATTATACGCATGCGCCTAGACCCGTGCAATGTTTTTCCATTTATTTACATTTCCACGGACTATATGCCAAAGAATGACATCCACTGCTCCTTTTTTTCGTCCTTTTACTTACCTTTTGATATTTGTCAACTCTACCCATCCCCGTAAAGTTTCAAAATGGAATTATCCTTCTTTGAATCTAGATCATTTATAAGATCATTTGTATATAATATGCACACACAGGGCCACTATTAAAGCAATTCATGTATAATCAGTGCACATTATCACGCAGCTAGAGCCAGACCACACAAAGGCATTTGCGTCATAAACGTGTCGTGGGCATATCGGTTGGAGTTGTTGCCATGCCGACCCTCACAAAACATAGTGGCGATGAAAAGCTTGTTACGACAAGTGAGTTTGGATAAAAGCCGCCTTATAGTGCCTTAAACAAGATACAAAAATGATCCATGTGAAAGAAATATATAATAACAGTATGTGTACATAATGAATCTTTCATATCTTATCCGGTGAATGTAATTTAATATACTATTTGGCTTGCATAAAAGTTGACAAGGTTTGGCATTATTACCCAAAGCAGTACGTACAGAATAAAGTAGATTACTTTAAAACAATTCTTTACCTTAAAGCTTGACAAACAGATGTACAAGTAGATTGCAGGGAAAGCTGTGTAATTTCACAAAAATGCCACGTAAATGTAGTTTGTGTCATCATGATTTTACCTTTTGAATAAATGAATGTTTCACTTTACATTTTTCTAAGATATGTGAAAGGGCACAATCGTATTTCCGGAAAAGAGCCTAAATTGCTAAAAAGGGACACGCATTATGACAGAAATGATATTTTGCTTTTTCCCAGGCTTCCAGTTTGTTCCAGTGGCTGTTAGACTTGTTCTGCTGCCGGTCGTACTGCTGTGACTGTTGTCTGGAGAAGAATGAAGACGTCTTTCCTCAGCGCAGGTACAAGTACACGTACGTCTACGCCGGGCGTCATCGCACGTACTCGGAAACCTCCAGTCGGGCATCTTCGACGTCCGAGTCCCGCCGAAGCTCGGCGTCCAGCACCTTATCCAGCAGCCTCGCCGCGTCGTCGGCGGACCGCCGGGGGAACTCTTCCACCGCCCCCGTCATCGACATGCGCCCGATCGAGTTCTGGCCCGCCGGAGCCACCAACAAGGAGTCGGTCCAGCCTCGGAGCAGAGCCAACCGGCTGATGGGCACGAGCGGCATCGTCGACGTCCGGAAGTTCCAGCCGAGGCTCTACGAAGTCGACGAAAACGAAGACGACGACATGACGGACGAGGAGAAAGTGGCGAAGTACAAACTGGGCCAGCTGTACTTCAACTTCCACTACAACCTCATCCACAGCGTCTTCATCGTCACCGTTCGGGAAGCTCGGAACCTGCCGTTTCCGATGATTGGCGACGAATCCCGACAGGACTTCGCCCATTCCAATCCTTACGTCAAGGTGTGCCTGCTGCCAGACCAAAAGAGTGCCAAACAGAGTTCCGTCAAGCCGAAAACGCAGAACCCGGAGTTTAACGAGACGTTCAAGTTCGAGATCCCGTTCCTGGAGGTTCAGAGGAGGATGCTGCTGCTGTCTCTACAGGACTACGACAAGTTTTCCCGCCACTGTGTCATAGGTCAGGTCATCCTTCCGTTGGAGAACTATGACCTCCTGAAGGTCAGCAACGTCTGGAAACCACTTCAGCCAAGTTCACAGGTATGTGAACATTTAAAAACATTTTTATGCTTGCACGTGGTTCCTCTTGTTCCAACTTCTCGGCTGATTTTGGTGACACTGTGACTTTGCGGTAAGTAACTTGGAACCTCAATGTACTGGGTTCGAATACCCTTGGCTCAGCAAAGAAGCTTAGTAACATGTAGCATCCGCCATCTTTGAAAACCTCTTCAAAAGGCAGTCACGTGACCCACGTTTAAGGGCAACACCGGTCACGTGACTGGACAAGGGTGTTGCGCAGCGCTGCGCATGTGTAGATATGTGTGTTTTTGTGTAAAGGTTTACCATCCATTTCAGTCCGAGCTGTGCTGCAGGTCTGAATAATCCCCCGTACGGTAATCCGCAGACTTAGCGTGGGTGTTAACAGCTAAATCTTATATCTGATGATGACGCAGGTTGTGGTTGGAATGGGTGAATATTTACTCTCTACGACTTACTCTAAAGAATAAGTAAATATTGTTGTTCCTGAATCTATCAAATCTCTCTACACTGAAATGGACGCTGATTTGCGAAGTCTACCTCCTTTTGAGGCATCATAAAACGGTAATGGAAACATATATCGGTAATGTGATACATTATAACCGGCACATCCCAATTGCCAGACCTTTCTAAAGGGTTATGGGTAGTAGTGCTCGGCAAAACTTAGGTATATGATTGTCCTGGAAAATAAGCCCACAGTGTTAAGTTAAACACATTTTCTCTTGGAAGGCTTAAGCTTGGGTAATGTGGCTATATCCTTTGAAGTCCACAAGTCACTATTCAAAATGTGAAACGTAGCGAAATAACCATTATATTTATTTGCGACTGGGCCACAGAACACACAGTCCCAGAACATGTAACAGTGACCCCGCGGCGGATGAAAATTAAACTCCACGGTCGGCATACTTCCCTGGCAAATTATTCTCCCTATTTGGCTTAAGTTTGATATTCTTAGCGTACTGCGTCTGGTGGAGACTGACATCCCATCATAAGTCTATTGTTATAAGCACCGAGGTGGTTCCATTTTTACCACAGAAGAGTTGCAAACGATTTGCTTTATTATGTGGTCTGTCTGTGGTGCTGATCTTCTGGTAGTTCTGAATGTTTAATGAGTCAGGACTGTAACGTGTATATATTACGACTGGAGCAGACTCAAACTTAATAACTCACCAAAGGCAATTAATTCACTCACTCACTCACTCACTCACTCACTCACTCACTCACTCACTCACTCACTCACTCACTCACTCACTTATATATACACTGACTAAAAGTGATGGAAAGCTGAAACAAAGAAAATCATGCATCTTAAAATACATTCAGTTATATTAGCTAAAGCCGGTTATTTCTACTTTTCTGCATTCCAATCCACCTCCTTAATTGGTTGCCATGAGTCTCTTACTATATACTTACTATATATAGTATTCTAGTTACTCTTTAAGTAAAGTACAGTTAAGGCCGGTATCGGCTCGATCATGCCCTGCTGCTCTTTTGAAGGTCAAGATTGTTGCCATTTCTGGTGACCCTTGTGGTAATGGGGGATTAGTGACTTGTGTTTATTAATAGCATCTTGGTTAATCATCAAGGTAGATAAAAAGGAAACTGCATTTGTGCATAGCGTACCGTATGGCTATGGTCTGCGTACTTACGTGTTTTTAGTTAAAACATACCAAAACAACAACAACATACTGATTACCTTCAAAATAAAGCATGAAACGTGGAAAAGGTGAAGGCATCCAGGGCTTGTCAATAATTCTTTGGGGAAATGACACTAAGAAGCAACTATCAAATCGCACTTTTGCACAACAAAGACAACAAAAATTTTCTGCATATTATGTTATACTTACTTTGCACCAGAGCAATGTCTTGGAAATGACAGTATTATGCATATTCTTTGACAACTAAGACAGACAGGGTTGTCATCAGACGTCTTACTGCTCGGTTCATGGACCCATCTGCCCTTCTGATGATAACTAATCTGCTCGAAGACAGTTTAATCTGATGGTGCTCAAAATAGATAATGTCATCTGTGGCAACGTCCTTTTGTAAGTACGTATATCAGGGGGATCATCCACATACGTGAGCAAAATGACTCCCATTTGCGCACATGTCTGATACACTCTGCACAAAAAACGATATGTAAGCATGCTTAAATTCTACCCAAAGGTCAGACGTAGGCGTGCTTTTATGTGAACTTTACTATCCCTACACGTGTACGTAAAGATTATCGTAAAGAAAGGGTGAAGGTTTTGAGAGTGACTGATATAGTACCGAGTGCACAACAGTTAAAATTGCTAAGTCTTTGAGAAAACGTTGTAATATTCTGATTATTCTATGATTTAGCTAGTGAGAAGGTAGTGAAAAATTATAGCATAGAACACGGCATATTCGCTTTTGTTTGTCAATCAAAAGATTGAATACTTAATGATATGTATGAATTTGTGAGTAAAAGTAAAAGTAAAATGAAAAAATTGTCTATTTTTTTCTATGATTTAGCTTCTAAGAATCTGATGAAAAATTTCATGGCATACAAGGCAGGTACTAACTACAATGTGCCAATCAACATTTTCTTACACTAATTGGTTGATGAACTATTTCTGTATTGCCGAGTTAGTGTAAAAGTAACCGTATATTGCTCTAACACGTATCTGAATGCAGGTCCAAGTAACCTTGATATCTAATGGTTCAACCGGGATAACATTAGACAGAGGCTTGCACAAAGCGAACTGTGGCTGGCAAAAGTAAGCCTTCCGAGACCTTCTGTGGGCGTGTGGCGCGAGTCGTGCCTCCTGGGAGCTCATTTGTCGGTTTTTCTGTCAGAATGTCGTCTGCGAGGTTGTGGTGTGGGCAATCCTCACAGAACACGTTTTGACCACTTTTGTATCACACAAATCACGCTAAGTGTGAGCTGAGTGGGTGGGGGAGGGAGGAGGTGGGCATGCAATTCTAGGGCAACATAATTTCAGGACTTTTACAAGCTATCTATTGAGCTCGAGTCACCAATGTCTACCAAGGATGAGTTTCTGTTCATAGTGTCATTCTTCATTTCTAATCACAAGTCATTTTTGTTTTATTGCCAAAAAGTTTCTTTCTTTACTCTAACGTCAAGCTTCCAGTAGCCTATTATTCAGTCTATCGTGGATTCCCTTCGGGGCTAGACGAGTTTTCCGCCGCAGGCTCAACTAGAGCACTCGGTCATTTTTGTCGCCGGGACTCCAAAAGCTTAAAACTCCTACCGAGTGTCTGGTTCAGTCGGGCGGAGAAGAACTTCTACAGCCCCGAAGCGAGCCCGCCGATCCACGACGAATAAATAGATTTCCAGAAAACCACTGTATCTGTAGCTATGTATTCGCACGGACATTTCCATTGATGTATATTGACAAGACAGAGTAGACACTTCTTTAGACCGCAATTCGAAGTGACTCTCTCCACCCACGCTCGTAATGGGGGTCACATAGGCAAGCTCTTAACTTTCCCGTCTACTGAGTGACTTTGTGCACCAGTACTGTTTGATGATAAGCACTGTAATGAGTTTTTGGTGTCACTAAGTCTTAAGGATTGAGCAAGAAATCCCTGAAGATGCCTTTCATGTGTACTGCATTAAGTTCGGTTGTGTATCAATGTATAAAATACTAGCTAAGGTTCGTGATTTTCAAAAAATAAAACTGAACTGAATTGAACTAAACCGAACTATAGACAGCAAATTCAAGATGGTAGTCCTCGCTTTCACATCCGGGACCTACGGGTAAACTGCCCGGATGTAAATGGCAGCATCTAGTTAACTGATAGGTAAAAATTTCTTTACTTTTAAATGAAGGCAATGAGCCCCTTCTAACCCGCAGATTCTCCATCAGTATATTTTTTGTCTGCATTTTTGTTATGTATTGTTTACTGCACTTGCAGATGCAAGCATATATCGAAAGCCCCTAAGAAGCCTGGTAACCAGGCTAGGTAGATGGCTGTACTTTACATGGATGTTGCTGATCACGAATGTTTCTGAGTGCTTTTAGTCGTTCCCAGAGAAAAGTACCCGGTGGCATGAGAGCCGGATAGGCGGGAGAAGTGGCCAGACTAAGTACCCTTCCCGTTTCTTACATCCCGTGAATCGAAATTTGTTCCAAGCGGACAGAAGTGAATACTAAATTTTAGACAAATAAGTCAATTTTAGAGGGTTGTAATTCGACGGTAAATTCACAAAAAAATTCCCCCAAATCATTTTAATGAACCTATTTCATTAGAAAAAAAAATTATGTCTTGATTGACATTCGGTGACTATTGATGTATTGTACTTTGGTTTACTTTCGAAAATCAGCATACTTACAAGTCGGTGAAATGCACTGTAACATTTTTCAATAAATGATAGATACATGAAAATTGCTAATGATTTCCAAGCATATCTATTACATGCCGTACATAGATAAAACCAGTTTCCAATTTGTAGTCAGACATCTGCACTGCTTATTTCAATCCTCGGGAGGATCCTTCGCTTGGCGCCGTCTTCTGATCCAGATTTGCTGTGCCACGATAATGTATTCAAATCGTCTTATAACCAAACCACTAGTGTATTAATACGCAAGTGTGGGACGTTAGTAATATATCAGCGATATCTGCTTTCCGCAGTCTTTATTTAATATGAAATGTCAAAAGTTCTATTAGGCTCTGTAATTACGAATTGCTACGTCACTTGCAGTTATAAATTGTACTCCGATTCCGAATGCGTGGGTAGCAATTTTTAAATAAAAATGTAAGATAAAAAATGAAATTCAAGTCTAAACAGACGTGAAGCCTGGGTGATTGGGAATATTGTTCAAAAGTAAGGAATGAATGAGTGAGTGAGTGAGTGAATGAAAGAATGAATGGATGAATGGCTGGTATTTTATTGATCGTCTAAATTAAATTGTCTATCTTAAAACGTCCTGAAACAGAGACACCGCCGGCACGTCATGATGATAAAATACGTGTCTTGGCATTTAGATCTACATTTAGATCTACATTAAGATTTACATTTAGATTTACATTCAGATACATTATCTAGACCTACATTTAAATATGGCTGATTTTGAAATCTCAATGCGCCTATTATATGTATAGCGATGGCACTGGCGATACTCAAAAGATTAGATGATACTTTAATTCTGCTGGCTGAACATGTCTCGGTCTACTTTAGTTCGTCCAGGCAGGTAATCTGGTACAGACGCCAGTCTTGCCCTTGGCATCTACCTTCCTTACTCACCGTCTATTTATACAGAAGGCCGCGAGCTGGTCTGGTCGTTGACAGATGGGGTAATATGTATCAGAAAATATACCATATGATAAGATACCCTGACTTGCCCAGAAGCATATAAAGGTTGTCTATCATTTACAATGCATGTAATGTTTGCTGTAATGAGTTTTATACTTGATGACAGTTAGATGATCAATTGAATGTAACTCTCAGAAAATGTTTCCAGGTTGATCTGAAATTAAAGGTAGTCATGATCACTTTAAACGCTAGGTTGTGTGTAAATGGGGTCACAGTCACCCTCTTGGCTGGTTAAACATACTGGATCAAGTTAGACGTAAACGTTGCATGTGTATGGTGTTATGATTAGGCGACCATAATTACATATGCAAATTAAAATTTTCCTGACAACTTCCGGGTTTTACCGTCCAACATGGCGGACAGTACTTACGTCATTGTCACGTCACGTGAGTGCAAAAACCATAATATATAGGTACATTATCAAAACATAGATGTTTACTCATTTCGCAGCTGAGCCCTGATCGTGGCGACGTGCTGCTGTCCATCAACTACCTGCCCAGCGCTGGCCGTCTGAACGTTGACGTCATCAAGGCGAACCAGCTGTTACAGACGGACATCATCGGCGGCTGTGGTACGGCTGTCCGTCTGTCCCTCTGTCTGTCCGTGTCAGTCCGTCCGCCTGTCCCGTAGTGAGAAACGGATGTGGTATGACGTCATTTCCGTGTCTGCATGACCAGCATGCTTTGCGGTGTCTGTTCGTGTACTTTGACAAACAATCTGACAGGTTGCATAGCATTGCAACCCGAAGTCCAGTCGATTTAAAGCTTAATATTACACCCCAATATGGTACACACAAATGCTTAAAAGCAAAAGCACATACTAGTATTGTCATATGCATTTGGCTAAATTCTAAATACCACTAATATTTTCTAATTTCACAACAAAATCACTGATTAATTAGGCAAACATGTAACGTTATATGTCACTGATGAAAAGTAGTGACAGTCTTCAAAATCTATCCAATAGTTATCCTTATGTTATATGTCTTGTCCAAGGAGTGTTTAAATATTTCATCAAAACCTTTATTTCAAGTAGGATGTTTTAAGCTACTTTAAAAAAAAGCTTAGCTATTTTTCTCTTTCGCTTGTAGATCCGTTTGTGCGGGTGCAGATGGTGGTAGGAACCAGGCTGATTAAGTCTAAGAAGACGTCCTGTAAGAAGAACACGATCGACCCCGTCTTTAACGAGTCTGTCAGCTTCAACGTCACACCTGACGTACTGGATGACGTCAGTCTCGTCATCACAGGTGGGTCACGTGACTTTACTCTTCTGATAAGTACACCAAATTGATAAGTAAGTTCACCGAATACTCACTGCAACGGTCTCTGCTGGACAAGCATACACACAAACCCACAAAGCTAACCATAGTCCCATTATTATGTTACATAACTCACTCTGTAAGCTTGAAATAATATGAACCATATGCATATGATTGATGTGTTACCGATGCATTATTGTAGACAAAATGCCCACATACAGTTTAGAGCGTTCACAGTACTAGTAGCCCAATATACAAGGCACACGTCGATCGAAAGTTTAATTTGGTAAGCCAGTTTTATGTTCTGCGTATTTTAGGCCACACCAATTTAATTTGTTGGTTCTCGGATTTTTTCAGAAAAAATATGAAGCGACAGGGCGAAAAAAAATAAAAATAAAAAAAACAGGTCTAGGCATCCTATTATAGCCCCAAATGCTACAATATGAGCCATGAAGTCAACAAAAAAGGCTGGGTTAAAAGTATAAATTTTGAACTTTTAATCAAACCACTGCATTGATAGATGGGAAAAAACTGTAACAACTAGGAAGAAAAGGAATTTCCTCAACTGTTGGGGACAAAATATGAGCATTTTTGAGTTGATTCAGAACCAGAATCTTTTTTTTTTTTTTGCAAATCAGAAAAAAATGAAGAGGCGAATCCGAGAACCAACAAATTAAATTGGTGTGGCTTTAAGTAGACGTGTAACAATATGACAATATGTTTCTTCTTCCACATTTTGCCCAACCACGTAGTGTGGGACTACAACTGCAAAAGCAGAGACGACTTCGTCGGTAGGTTCGTGCTGGGGCGCCACCCTACGGGTGCGCAGGAAACTGCACACTGGGAGCGGCTGCAGGCATCACATCGGTCGCCAGTGGCGCAGTGGCACACCCTGAAGTCCCGGTCGGACTGTGACCAATGCTCTCTTGCCTCGGTCGCTGCGTCCACGCGATGACTGAATATAGCTGTCAATCATTAGCCCTTTAACCAATAAGAGAAAGGCAATTAGCAGTTCAACCAATGAGAGAACGGCACTTCCAAAGAATGGCTGCAAATATCTTCAGTTTGTCTGTTTTTATTTTGTATGTTTACGTCTCAGCGAAGGTGGCCGGCGGGGCTATAGCTTAAACAGAACCTTTGTGAATTTTGTGATTCAAGGCTTTACTAACAATTTTCATTGCTGTAAGTGACTTAAGTCCAATGTAACCAGGCACAGAGTTTGATTTGTCTTTTAATAACCAGACACAGTTCAGGTGGTAAATTGTAATTTGGGGGTGTTAATAGGATCTTGTGAATATTGAGTAACATTATTGTAAAATTTTGTATACTTTAGACAGTCATATTTCGTCAATATTTGCCTATGATTTTGGGGTTTGGGTATATCCACATGTTGGGGCTTATACAGTTAGGTTTTAATAGCTGTTTAGTGTGTATCATATTGTTCTGTTTGGTATCAAAGAATGGATATTCTACTGGGTCAATGACGCTTTTTGTACGTATTGCTCGCTTACGTCTTGCCGCATGGTGGCGTCGCGCCAAGAATGCGGTCCCAAACGCGACAAGTTGCCGAAAGGTTGGCTTGGTCAATTCTTTTCTAAAGGTTGTACTATTATAATAACTTACCACCCTGCCAATTCAGGAAGATGTAGAGGTGTTTTTATTATTCTTAAGGACAGAGATGTTTCGCTGGTTAGTAAGTACTAATAATCTAGAAATTTCGTGTGCGTGCGTTTATCACTCTTTTACTAATATTAATATATGTATCATCATACAGTCTTTGTATTTATACAATGTCCGCCAAGCACGTTTATATTCATTCAAAACAAAGCTGGAGAATATTACTATCAGGATTCTCAAATTAAAGAAACATGTGTCATATAGTTATCCAAGCGGAACCTATAAAACAAGCAAAACAAGAATATTCCTGGATTAATGGTAGAACTCTTTCAGTTCAGATTTTCAGTTTTAAGAGACAGAGTTTTACTATTAGTAAAAAGTATGAAATGTTGAGAAACGTAAGGTTTTCTGTTGTAGGAATTGTATTGCTGTCTTCCTTGTACAAAGAAATCAAAGATAACTCATATTCCAAGTAAGAACAGTGTAACGACGCCGCTCTGCGGCGGAATACAAAACTACAATAAGGATTATGTTAAGTATCGGATGATATGATTTTTTTTTGCTACAGGACACTAGACAAATATTGATATGCGTAGTAATCATGGAAATCGTTATGTCTGCCTAACAAAAAGATTAAATAGGACTTGTACCATACGAATGTATTGTTTACATAGATTTGAGAAAAACAACGTGTTTTCGGAAAATAAACTACAAGGATTACATCCCATATTGTGTGTACATTCTCTCAGCCAGATGGGGCAAGGTGAATTACTTCTTAAGTAAAATACATATACTCTTTTGTAAGCCGTTTTCGGTTATCTTAGTAGTTTAAAATAGCCAATCGTTTTATTTGGCCATGCTTAGAGTATTTTGGCCACCTATAACAATTTTTTTCCCGACGAGTTTTCGTACTGTCTCCTTGAAAAAAAGATTAACTTTTCTCGGACCTTTGACCTAACTTCCTATCAGTGTCATTGACATAGTTACCATCATGTGAAAATAACGTCGAAAATATAAGAAAAGAAACAAACCGAAAATAAACCCTCCGTCTACGTGAACGAAATAACTATTTTGACACCATGCAACCACATACTGTTTGATTTATCATCTATAATATTTGCTATGACTAATATGAACTAATAACGTACGCAATGTCAGCTGTTGTTTATTACGCATGATCTATCTAATTAATTTTATTCTCTACTGTTATTATTTGTCAGCAGGCAATGTCTAATTAGATCGCAAATTGGATCGCTTGGGAAATATTGTCAGCAAAAATATCATATTTTTATGAGAATATTACACAATTATTCTCTTCAGGCAAATTGTTTATAGGTAATAACGCAATGTGGGAATAATTAACTTTTTATGGTGATCATGAAAATCTTTCACACAATTAAATTTCTGTTGATAATCAAATGTATCTGTGATATGTTTTGTATGATATGTGAAATTGATTATAATAAAAGAATGGCAGATCATAGCAAATTTGAAATGTGACATGTTGAAAAGTGTGTGATGTTTGAGGAATAAAACAGCCATAGATAATTGATGAGAACTGAAGTTCAGCGAGAAATTTGAATTCAATCAGTTAGGCAAAGGAAAAACCACTACGACTTGCGTTGGCGGATTCTTAACTCGAAGAACACAATTTACAAGTGTATTGATTTTTGCCGTCTAAATAACCCATTTGCTAGATAGCCCGACGACTGTTCAATCGTCATGCATACATATTGGGAATTAGGACAGGGGAAATGGTGAAATTACAAAGCAAGCAGAAAAATCGAACGCCGGAGAACTGAGGTGAAATGTCGTCCAAAATCTTGACCTAAGCCCCGCCTACTTCACTGTGATTGACAGCTTATGCAAATTGTACTGTAGGAAGGGGCGGGAATAGGCGTAACGCCCACTCTTAAATTCCAAGAATCCTTTTTTTGACCGCAAGTAACCAGTGGACCGCGCCGCTCAACTACCTACTCCCCAGCCGCCTTGGCTACGAATAAAGAAAATGAAACAAGGGACTAGCAATTTCAAACCACCAAGGCTTTATTGGCATAACAAAAGACATGGCTTGGCGTACTTGAAACGGGGATAGCACGAATCTAGCAGGCTGGTTGTTGCGACAAGTCCTGAGCGGGTAAGCCCTGAGCCCTCAATAATTATTTGGGTGGACTCCAGTCCTTAACTTGACCTTAATGTCAATCAGTATGTGGTAATCATATCTACCCACCTTTCCTGACACTCTACTACATGCAGATATTTACGTACACAAATGGACAAAGATACACAAACACATACACACACACACACACGCACGCGCACGCGCACGCACGCACGCACGCAAACATGCACTCAAAATACTCCCCAAAAAATACCCCCGTACGTGCGACTAAAAAGGCGTAAAAGAATCTCGCACAGGTGGAAAATACCCCACACAAGCGCTTGTTGCAAGCCCCTAATGTTTACAACTGGGACGTGTCCGTCTTCACGTATTCTCCTGGCGTACTTAACGCCACGTCAGGTACGTGAAGGCGCTGTAAATGCCTCCTGTCAATAACGTCTGCATCGGACGACACAAAACGTCCTCGGCATCACCATATATGGTATGCGTGCACTTTCCCGCGCAAACCGGGGGGCAGGTTGGGATTGGGAATCAACTCCACGTAGGATAGAATGTAAAATGCCGCGTTTTAGCCAGGGAGTAAGGTTGAAGTCTTCTTTGACCTTGAATACCATGCGGCTGCTGGTATGATTTATCATTATTTGTATCATTACGCCATAAACTACAGTAAAACTATACGTTCAAAGATGGCAATTTAAAAAATCATGTTAATTTTCCGGGTTACCGTTACTTCTTAAAAAAAACTCTAAAACGTCTTTGTGCGTAGAAACTTTTGTTTTGAGATAGCCCCGTAAGTCACGTTGCATCACTCTGCGTGTCATGAGATACTTGGAGCCTGAAGTGTTATCAGTGATGCACTACAGTGAGTGTCAGCACCCTTAGGAGACCATCATCGAAATGTTATTATTATATGAATTACAGCGGATGTTCTGCTATATTTAGTAATACTTAGATGTAAAAATAGAAAAGTGTTGCAACCATCAGGAGCTCAGAGATTTTTTAATACACTTTAACGTTTTCGATCTTTTTAATCTTGCTAATCTAAAACTGCCAGTCAACATGTTTTATTCTTTCTAATAGGTAAAGAAAACACTGACTTCAAAGGGCATTTTGTTTCATTCCTGTGATTTTATACCGCGTTTTAATACTCGATAAAAGAACTCGATTTTAGATCACTGTCCTAAAATTACTGCATTTATTGTAGCCTCTACCAGGCTTCGTAACCGGATGGAAATAGTAGGAATTGGCCAAACAGACAGATAACATGTTAGGGAGTTGGTAAACTAAGGAGTACATTTGCCGCTAGCCTGGTAGAGGCTAGAAGTATTGGAGATTGGCACGACCTTTCTGGTCATATTCGACCATGAAAGCGGGAGTCTTCCATCAACGCGAGTCTTCGATCTTCACACTTGTTTAGGTAGCCGGGCTGTCCGATAGAATCGATGTTTTCCCTGGGAAAGTGCCGGTAATTTACACGAAGATCTTAACACAGGATATCTGTCATTTCTAATAACTGTTGTAGGTTGCTAAAAAAATTCATAAAATCAGACAAGCTATGAAATTGTTAAGTTGTTAAAACTTTGGACAAAGCTAAACGCTATACATGTAACGTCTAGTACTCAAAGAGGAAAAGCTTATTTGCTAGTTTCAATCTAAGCTGTTCTAGCATTATGCACATATAAAGATTTGTATATCTTTCGGAGGCACATTTATAAACAATAAATCATTCTGTTTCTGGGATTATATTGTTCATTCAGTAAGTCGTATGTACGAGTAGGAATCTACAATGGTGTCCAGTGTATCTGTCCTTGGTACTGAACGTTGCTTCACATTGAATCAGTAAGAATAGAGTGTAATATATGTTGTAGTCCACCGTGTAATATCTAACATCATGCAATTGAAATTTAAGTTTATGTCGTCATAATTCTCTTGCAAAGTTATAACTGCATACTCTCTTCGATATTTTAGGCACTTATAATGTATCATTAAGAATGGTTCTTTTTTGTGACGAAAAGACTTGAACATTAAAACTGAGAATCAAAATTTGAAAAAAGACGCTTCGTTGTTATGCAGCACAAAGCTCCAAACCTTATCAGTACGCCATGCCTGTTCTCTTTGTAACGACCCTGGCATTGGTCTGTATTGGAAACACTTAAAACTGGACAAAGGCACAATAAACTATTCCGTACTGCCGAATCCTACCGCTCACTCCAGACAAAGGACAATCGATATTTAGACTTACATGAAAGGAAAGGACCTTGAAATGTTGACAGAAACTAAATATAGGCACTTTTTCCAAATTACTTCGCTCGTTTCTATTCTAAAGGTGGTCTTTCAATTTCACCTTTTGAATGTTGAAAAGAGTCAGAATATAACAGCTATTTTCCCCATGTTTAAGAATGGGCAAACCTCTGGTGTGGGGTTAAGGATGGCCTTCGAATATAGATTAGAAGACTCGCCTGGGGATATTAAAGTCATTCGCGCCGAGATTGCGCCTTGTCTGACAACATTTCTCTTCCCGATGTGACTGAATTATGCAGCGAATAAAAAACGGAAATCTTTATAAATGTTTGGAAAGTTGGCGTCTAGACATACACGTCTTCTGGCGACTGCGAGACTCCTGAGTCTCAAGATTGATTCACTGATTCACTGTGCTTTTACGTGCGAGACGTTAAGTACGTGAGTAAAATACGCGCGCATTTGTCTTATCTCTTTTACGTCCCCGCCGATGATGTCATTTGCGGCCATCTTGAAATCTGATCTGCTTTCACCATCCCCGTCCCAGCGGTCATTGCGCGGTGATTTGTTACCGTGGGATCGATGCCGGTGACGCCGGGGCTGTGATCTCGTTAGACCGGCGCGGAATTAACTCTAAATCCCGCCTGCGTGCCCGTCACATTATTGTCTCATCGTCTAAATCCGTGCGAATGAAGAGACGCTACGACCAGGGTATGAGCACCTTTGTTCCCAAGGACGGACGAGGCATTTGCACTATGAAATTACCACAAAGCAAGGACGTTTGAACATCAAAATATAACCTCTTTGCACGAAGTAATCCCTGAAAGGGAAGAAGATTGCGATAAGCACGGCACGCTCTGATGAAATCGTAAAGACGCAAGCACGTCATTTCTACTTATAGGCTGTAAAGTGAAATTGGGAAAACTATTTCTCGACTGGAGTTGAATATCAAAAAAGTCGACCTGGACACGGGGCCGAGGACTTTATACAGTAATTCACCACCATTTTTGCGGACTTGAAGAAAACAACATGAAGCGCTTGAAAAA